AAATCTCTATTGTAGACTGGGACTCACATTTGTCGTACGACAAATTTTTCAAGCGTGTCGATTGGCCGCTGAATAGAAAGTTTCTAGATACTCGAGAATTTTACTATCCTTCAGCCAATCAATACGCTTAAAAACTTTGTCGTACGACAAATGTAATACCAGCCTTAAGCGGGAAGCATATACTTTGGCATAAGGCTGAGTCTACATAGGATGTAGTAAGTCGTGTCGGAAGAAATTGACCAATCACAGTTCATTATTCTTCGACCGTAAGGAGAATAAGGCTGGGTCTACATTGGATGTCGTAAGTCGTGTCGGAAGAAATTGACCAATCACAGTTCATTATTCTTCGACCGTAAGGAGAATAATGAACTGTGATTGGTCAATTTCTTCCGACACGACTTACGACATCCAATGTAGACCCAGCCTAATGAACTGTGATTGGTCAATCTCTTCCGACACGATTTACGACATCCAATGGGTGCTTTCCAATTATTTTACACTTTTTAACACAAACGTACACAAGAAGACACAAAGTGTCGCGATGTGTACGACTCAATTGGAACAAAATATACTACAAAGAGTACACAAAGTAGTATACTATCCATGCTTGGTATTTTTAATTCATGGTGGTGATTGAAACTGCGTCACCTAATGTTGATTCAAAATATTTATTACCTCAATGATACTCTGAATATTGCCGTTGTTCATTGTTGAGTAAAAAGAAAAAAATGTGTGCCGTACTTGCGTATTTTCCTCCTCCCACTTCGGTATTACTTATGCGCCAGAATGATATCAGACGTAACCTCACTTCTTTTTTTCCCTTTTATATAGTAAACCATCGTAGCGAAGGAATATGCCGACCACTTGTAGCCGCCGTACTTAGTAACTATTATTTGTCACTAGAATACACAAGTTTACACAGCCGACTAATAGCCCTCAGGGTACTATTACATTTGTCGTACGACAAATTTTTCAAGCGTGTCGATTGGCCGCTGAATAGAAAGTTTCTAGATACTCGAGAATTTTACTATCCTTCAGCCAATCAATACGCTTAAAAACTTTGTCGTACGACAAATGTAATACCAGCCTCAGGCTGAGTACGAATGTGTAGAGGTATGTCGACATTTGTGACAATTGGAACGCCATTTGTGTCGCCGTGTGCACGAAAGTGTCTAGGGATATTGCAATTGGAAAGCACCCACTGTAGACCCAGTCTAAGAGCATACTAGCATATGCATAAAGAAATTGATTGGTCCACAAGCAAATGCAAAAGGAAATGAACCAATTAAAGGGCCGTCACACACAAAATTGCATAGTAGTTTAAGCCCGCTGCAGACGATGCTATTTTTCCTGCTGGATTGCTTGCAATTTAGTAAATTACTAGGAATCCTGAATGCTGAGTGGTGCAATGATAGTAATTTACTAAAGCCCGCTGCAGACGATGCTATTTTTCCTGCTGGATTGCTTGCAATTTAGTAAATTACTAGGAATCCTGAATGCTGAGTGGTGCAATGATAGTAATTTACTAAATCGCAAGCAATCCAGCAGGAAAAATAGCATCGTCTGCAGCGGGCTTAAATCGCAACCAATCCAGCAGGAAAAATAGCATCGTCTGCAGCGGGCTTTATTATAAAATTTCACATTGGAATTTTATTCAATGAAATTTCAGATTTGACCAATGATAGCACAAGGTCATTTTAATCTGGATCATTTTGATCTTCTGGCGAAAGCAGCCATGGCTAGAACTTTTAAACGGAACGCACCCGTAGCCTGAAGTCGTAACAAATTGGCCAATCACGAGGTCAGTGCAATACTGGTTGGGCAACGTGTCCATCATTTGTACGTTGTCGGCCCTGAGCTTCGCCTGGGGAAAATTCGTGTTAACGATCGCCGCGGTTGGCGGCGGATTCGACGGTGCCGTTTGAAAGAGATACGTGCGTTGCGAGCTGATATTTGCGTGATGAGCCGCTGCGAAGTGCGTGAGTAGCGGAACGACGAATTTGTGCCGATCGAGTGGTGCGACGAAAGCGAGGCACGGCCGACCGGTCTTGTCCAGCTGGAATCATGTTCCGCTCGAAGAAAGACGTCGACCGCCACGTGCAGAATGTCTTCTGCAAGTTGCGGAACGAGAACGAGGTGAGGTTAACTTCGCACATAGGGAACGTTCTCTCTCTCTCTCTGTCTCTTACACCTGCCGTCATTCGCGGGCAACGCGGACCGACCGAGTCTTCCCGCCTGAGTTTCTGCTTGCGACCGATATCCATCTACCGATTACGAGCCGGCCAACGATCGCTCGGCTGTCCGTCCGTTCGATGCGCCGGACGGAAACCTTGAGCCGTCGCGCTATAGGCGAGAATACACGCGGGCGCAACGATGATGGCGAATTTTCGCGGGAGTCCGTCCTCGCGCTGTCGATACGCAGCGGCGGTCGATCCGTCTCTGTGCAGATTCCGATTACGGGACTTCGAATCCGGATTTCTCGCCAAATTTACCTGTTATTCGTGTTTACCTGACACGACCGTCGGCCGCAAACTTTACGTCCTCGCAACGTGACGTTTGCCCGACAAGTGCCCGTTTTCAGGATAGACTTTTGTTGCAATGAAGGACGAATTATAACTCAAAATTGCAAAATGCTTTCTCGTCAGAGTATAACAAATACATTTTATCTTGTTTGAAGCTCTTTTCTCTAACATTTTATCAATGCTTTTGATACAAGTTCAGATAAGTTTGTGATAAAGTATTGTAAATCTACAATTAATGGGTGCCTTCCAGCAAGAGACACATATTGACTCAATGTAATATAGAGAATCATTTGATCCTTGTTTAATAAAAAGATGAAACGATTCACTGTGTTACTCAGTGTCACCTGTGTACGTTGCTGGAAAGCACTCAATAATATTCATTATTGTGATGATGGTTATAATCTTTATGCAGTAAGATAATCTCCATTTCACCTGTCCAGACATAAGGATTTTATGCCAATTGCAGTTCAATTTACTGTTAAAATGTTTAAATATCTGCTTTATACTTGGATTTCGGATTCTCTAAAACTCCTTGGTATGCAATTCTTTTTACAGAAAAATCTCCGCTGTTACAATGTTGCCAAACTGTATTATCAAGTAGGTGATTATGAATCCACAAAAAGATACGTATTTAATTACTTAGAGATACGAGATAATTCTGCCAGTGCGCACAAGTTGTTGGGTCAAGCGTACGAGGCTCTCGGTCAAAAGGAGGCAGCTTTTAACGAGTACAAAGTCTCCCTCGAACTTGAAGGAAGGCAGGATGATCTGGTCTTGAAAGGTGAGCAGCCGGCGTCTTTACGTCTGCCTCTTATTGCTCTTTGAATAGTTTCGTGTCATTCGTAAAATTTCAACTTCATTTTCTTCTTGATTTCTTTTTTAGTTTGCGAGCTACTGGTTGACATGGACATAGGAATGGACGTTAATAAACTCAAGTATTGGGTAGAAAGAGCGGATAAACTATTTCCACATCACTCGGTAGTTTTTCAATTAAAAGAGAAGCTATTGACCATAGAGAAACCGAACAACAGCAGTGAGGATCTTGAGGCGCTTATCGCTTGTGAGTAATCATTATTTTTACGATTGAAAAGCGTAAACTTGACGCATAAAATTTTCCAGCTGAATTGGCTGCGAGACCGACTGACGTGCAACTGCGCATCAAATTGCTGAATTATTACATGTCTGAATGCAAATTGGATAAAGCCTATGAACACGCTATCAGTGTGGAGGCCACCGTTTCTCACAGAGACAGCATTGCATGGTATCAGTTACTATACGAATTATTAACCAAGTATAAAGAGACCAAATCCTTTGATTGGTCTTTCTGGTGTTACTACATATCCGTATCGGATAAATACGCGGGATTGTGTCTCAAGGAGCAAGGCAGTGAAATGAAGAAAAGCATTCCAGAGGCAGCTCAGGCAGTATTTAAGTAAGTGTATCGTACTATACATGTGTGTAAACTAACTGTATTTTCCAACTTGTAATCAATCGATGGGACAGTAAAATTTAAGCTTTTTTTTTATAATATCTATTAAATGTACATATTACATTTTACATACTGTTTCAAAAATAACACAATTGCCTCTGTTTTATATGCATTTATGTTGATATGTATAATCATGAAACATGATATTCCAGTTTTGACCAAAACCTGAACGAGATGAAGTCGAAGAACTTTTCTAAGCAATACACCTTCACCGAGCACTTGTTTACACACATGTGGGGTCAGTTGCACTTCCACTTGGCGTGTTTGTTATTGCGCAAAACTAAGCGCGAGCAAGGCAGTTGGAACGAAGCGGGAAGACTATGCTCGCCCCTGTTGTTGACTGCGTTGCACGTAGCTCCATTGGAGAATCGTATGCGCATACAACTAGAAGATGACGGACTTAAGAATCAATTCAATGTATGGGCCATGGAGGCTGCATATCGATGTTGCCAAGCCGGTACGCGAGATAAATTATCTGATGAGAATTGTCGCTACTAAATATCTACTAACAATTTTACTCTTTGTTTCATTAGGTTACATCCTTCAAAATTATGCCAGGGATGACACGAAAAAGCTGATAGATAGAATTGATAAATTTTGCACGGGACTTTGGAGAGAGCGTGTCTATCAGGTACAAATCGAGCTTCGCGCAAATACTGGCTGATCTGATGTATATTTAATGTGCCTTTTCTTTTTCAGAGAATTTTTGTGACCATGATACACCTCGATCATATGCGGAGTTCATTTTTCTGCCATTTTCATACAGCGCCTGATCCACCTTTACGTATGTGCACTGCAAATCAGCTAAGGACTTACAGCCAAAGTACGTTTATTAATCTACCTATATTTGGATTATCGATATATGGAAGGATAATCAAGCGTATTATATTTTGCATTAGTTTGTACAACACCACATTGCGTTTACGTTTACTATTAGTTAAGAATAATTAATATTGCGAGTTACATTTAAGAATCTTGAGTTTGCGGTAAGAATAAATACCGTAAACGGAAAGCAATGGTGTAAAAAAAAAAAGACAATAGAGGCAGTTTAGTTTTTTCTTTACAGTCGCACAAGAAGTATGGCCCGCTTCATTGCACCATCAAATTTGGCTCGGAATGGAGAATCGGCCTCAGCACAGAGACTCCCCATATCCGGACCAGATCTCGCGTGTGTTTCCAGCGTTACAATTTTCAGTGTTCAACACGAATCAGGCGGCACCCGACAGCCTATGTCTCATCGATATCGATGCGTTTCTCAACGCGGCGATACTTTGCTCGTCCGCCATCCTGGAAGAACAGCAACTCGGTAGTTTCATGAATCCAGAGAAACTGCCGACACTGCCTATCGATCTTACCACGACACTGTCCACTAGTAATCAGGAGAAATGGTGGTCAGCGGCGTACAAGACGTACTCCAAGCGAGAGGACGTAGACGGCGACATCGGCGAGCTACGACAGGAATTGCAACAGGGTTTGGAAGTCATTCGCTGTATCGGTAATCACGGTATGCATCCGGTATTACTGGTGCATCTGGCGCGCATGTTCCATTATCGCGCGAAGGTGCTGAAGGAGAAGGATGAGGCGAATGGCAACATCTCTAGATGGGAGGCGCGTTCCGAGCTGTACTGGACCGCCGCTCTACCGCTGTTGGAGAGACTGCAGAACAATCAAACGTTACGTATGTCTCCGTCGAAGTTATTCAATTATCAGGGCAAAGAGATGAATAACTTCGAGCTGACGAACGCCCTCGAGGAGGGCAAGCTGTTGTTGGCCCAGCGACTCGTACGCGACAAACAGTACGAGCAGGTGATCGACGCGCTGCAGGCGCTCAAGTGCCCGGAAGCGTCGTTCCAGCTGGCACAGATTTACAAAATCTTTGCAGATGAGATAGTGAATTCCACACCTCGCGAGAGTCTCACGTCGGAGATGCGATCGCAGCACATCATAATGTTGTCGAAGGCGAAAAACTGCTTCTACCTCACGCTCGATCGACTTCGTAGTCCGGGCACGAATCCCAAACATCCGCTCAACTCCGAGCTCGGTACTCACATCACCGACATCGAAAACGAGTTGAAGAGGATAGATCCGGATTTGGGCAGGGGTGACTTGAGCAGGAACGACGTCGATGGTATATCCGACGAGAGTTATTCGCCCACGCACAGCGCCGTGGATCAGGCAGTCACGAACCCGACACTGCCGATGTTAACGACGCTGACTGGCGGCTCGAATATGCTCAGCACTCCTCAGAGGAATGCTCATCGTACGCCGAAACACGCTAGCACACCGTGCAAATTGCAGGACTATTTGAATCTATCGAAGAACCGTACGGAGGCACGTCCGAGCCCCGAACGTCTCGACGCTCAGATACGTCAGATTATGCAGTCCCGGGACAACGAGATGCAGGAAATGATGGAACAGATGAAGAATATGATGTTGCACATGAAGACGTTGACCGACAAAGTGGACAATCTAACGAAGGAGATAACCGAGTCGCGCAAAGAGAATCAAAAGCAGCAACAGCAGCAGCAGCGTTTACAGCAGCAACAGAACGTGAATCCCGTTGTTGATCCCGAAGACTTCTACGTCCTCGACGACGACGAGTACGTCGATTTGAACTATCAGAATCAACCGGCCGGGCCAGCGTCCTCGATTTCCGGTAACATATTTACGCCGCAGCATGCTCGGCACCCTTACCCGTCGCTTATGTACCCTTCCGCGGCGACTGCGTTCCAGTATTATCAGGGAGGACTACCGTTCACTGATCCGAACGCTCAGGCGGCCATATCGTCCCTGTATCCGCACACCGTCTACCCAATGCCGATGCTGTATCCTAATCAGGCGAAGGTGCCGGACAATCCGCTGCAGCAAGGTCTCTTTGCGTCAACGCTTTCCTCGCAGCTGCCCGATCTCATGCCGGCAGTCGCGGCAAATCCGTCGCTACAGATAACGCTGAAGCAAAAAATGGAAACGCCATCGCGGACCAAGCCCGAGGCGACAACAACGACGGCCACGGCGACGACGATCGCCAAAGATGCGCCGGTGAACAAAGCACCGCCTGTAAACGTGGTCATCACGACCTCCGACACGCTACCGACCACGGTGCCGTCCACCCAACCGACCCTAAGTGTTACCATACCACCGCAGTACCGATTAGGAGGCGGAACAGCCGTCACCTTCTCCACCACGCCGACGACAATGACAACCAAATCATCTTCCAGTGTGCCGCACTGCTACCAGATTCCCATGCCCCTGCAAGCCACCATACCGACCACTGTCAACTTGCCGCCGACGTCCACCTACGTCACCCCGGCCAGCATCAATGTGCCGTCGATCTACGTCAATCTGACAACGTCAGAGTCTATCGGCACGGCGACGCATACGACCAGCAGTGGCGCTTTGCTAAGTGATCAAGATGCTACGAGTAAGATACAAGACAAGACTGATACCACTAAACCCATCTACGAGCCGATCACCGAATCACCGAACACGTCCACGGAGATATACGAGCAGGAGCACGACCCGATACCGAACTTCGTGCCTGTCATACCGTTGCCCGACAAGGTGGAGGTCACCACCGGCGAAGAGAACGAGCACACTCTGTATTGCGGTCGGGCGAAGCTGTTCCGCTTCGTTGACAAGGAGTGGAAGGAGCGCGGCGTTGGTGACGTGAAACTGCTGCGCAACGCGGAAGGCAAGGTGCGCTTACTGATGCGTCGCGATCAGATCCTCAAGATCTGCGCGAATCACATGCTCAGACCCGACATGGAATTGAGCCCCATGACGAATAACAACAAGGCCTGGTTCTGGGTCGCTAACGACTTCGCCGATGAGAAGGTGAAGCTGGAGAAACTTTGCATCAGATTCAAAACCAAGGAGGAAGCGGCGACGTTCAAGGAGGCCTTCGATCAGGCCAGACTTAGTCTGTCCGTGACGTCGCCGGGAAAGGCGTCCAAGATTAGCGAGAAAGTCTCCTCTAGCGACAAAGACTCGTCCAAGAAAGCGCAGTCGACGCAGCAAGCTAAAATAAGTTCAACAACGGAAGTGGTTTCCTCAGACAAATCGAAATCCGGCATGACGACGCTGGGAGGATTTTTCTTCAGTTCTAAACCTATTATTCAAGAGGTCGACGATACGGAACCGGGTGACTCTAAGAAGGCCGAAGAGCCGCCGAAGGTCAGTCCGTTCAGCGGATTTTCCTTCACCAAGTCGACCGGTAAGGACGAGACAAAGGTCATGACCACCACCACCGCTTCGACACCACCTGCAAGCTTCGTTTTCCCCACGACTCCGACAACGCATTCGCAGTCGTCGGTTCTAACGAGCACAGCCTCCAATGCATCACCGATATTTACGTCTCCCATGACAACCGGTCAGAATTCCACGACATTGAGGAGGCCTCGACTGCCGCCACCCGGCGTCAAGCAGGCATCTAACGACGAGGCGCGACCGCCAATGGAAAATGAGCAGAAATTGTTTGTTGGGACAGCGAGTCTTCAATGTCAATGCGTTAATGGTGCCAATGCCGTACAGTGGAAGAACAAGGGTACGGGACCGATGATGCTGTTGCTGAACACGAAATCCGGCAAGCTTCGCTTGTTACTGATGGTCGACGGGAGTTCCAAGGGTTACGGTCATAGAGTTCCGCTGGACATGGCGTTTACATACAAAAGTGGTACTATGGTCGTCAATTGGTCCGTGCCGGGAGACGCCAAAGAACCCGGTAAGACCTGGTCGTTGCATGCCGCGACTTTCGGCACGCCGGAACTGGCGTTGCAGTTCTACAACGTTGTGTCAAGCTGCCAGCAGAAGCTAGCTAAAGGCTCTAGCCCGGGCGAAGTCACGAAGGAACTCGAGAAGAAGGGTCAGACGTCGTGTGAGAGCAAGGGTCAAAACGCCACGGAGGCGAAACCGCCGCCGTTGTCGGAATTATTTAAACCACCGACCGGTTCCTGGGAGTGTAGCGGCTGTTACACCAGAAATAAGGCCAGCGATATGAAATGCTTAGCCTGCGAAGCTCCGTCGCCTTCGGCGGCGAGCAAGAACGATTCCGCGGTCGCTAACAGGCCTGTTGAGTCCGGCAAACCACCGTTGTCGGAGCTGTTTAAATCACCCGCCGGCTCCTGGACCTGCACGGGATGTTACATCGTCAATTCCAGCACAAACGTCTACTGTGTCGCCTGCGACAATCCCAAGGATCCGTCGCAGCCGCCTAAGCCGCAGCAAGCCAGCATCTTCACGCTAAACGCATCCTCCGGCGCGGCACCCATGACTACGTTCTCCTTCGGCATTCCCAAAGACACCGCCAAGGAAACGAACGCCAGCAGTTTCAGTTTTCGGATGCCGAAGGCGGAGGATAAAGGCACGAGTGATAACGCGAAGGTGACCTCGTCCAAACCCGAGGAGACTACGGGCACCAACTTCGTGTTTGGTATGCCGATGAAAAGCAGCTCCACGTTGAATACGGGTGACTCACCGTTTACCTTTGGCTCTCCCGCAAAGTCCTTCGGTTTTAACTTTACGGCCAAATCACCGGCTAAATCACCTGGTGGCGGCAGTGGCGGCGGTGGCGGTGGCGGTGGCGGTGGTGGCAGCGGCAGCGGCGGCGGCGGCGACGGCGACGAGACCAGCGAAGACGAGGTGGTGGAGAACGAAGACGTTCATTTCTTGCCGGTCGTGCCGTTGCCGGACAAGGTTGACGTGAAGACTGGCGAAGAGGACGAAAAGGTGCTCTACAGTCATCGAGCGAAGCTCTTTAGGTTCGATACCGTGGCAAAGGAGTGGAAGGAACGTGGACTGGGCGACATCAAGCTGCTTTGTCACAATAAAACCGGCAAATTGCGGCTGATCATGCGTCGGGACCATGTACTGAAGCTGTGTCTCAATCATATACTGTCCAATGAACTAGAGTTCACACCGAAGGACGAGAAAACGTGGTTGTGGACCACTGCGGACTACAGCGAGGGTGAGATCGAGTACATGCAGTTTGCCTGCCGCTTCAAGACGCCCGACATCGCAAAGGATTTCAAGAGAGCGATCGACGACGCAAGGAACAGTTCACCGGTCAAGGAGATCGAGATCGTTTACGAGGCGAAGGTCACTCCAGAAGAGAGGGCGGCCGCCTTAAAGTTGCAGTTACCGGAGAACTTTTACGTTTACAAGCAAAAGGAAGACTGTCCCGGTTGCAGAGGCTGCAGGAAACCGAGCATAGTGCTGTATCCAGACACCGCTGGGCAAGAATCGACCAAGTGGAAGCCTGTACCCGAAGAAAAAAAGGCGATAACACCGTCGAAGCTGATCTCGAGCGTGGGCGCGAGATCACCGGGCGGCCCCGAGAGCACCAGCGAGACGCAGTCCGCGTCCGTGAAGAATGGATTCTCTTTTGCGACAGCCACCGCGACGTTCAAGTCTCCGGCTGTTCCCACCACCTTCGACAGCTCTACTATGAGCTTTGGTACCGGCGATCTGAAACTGTTCAACGATAAGAAGACTACGACTTTTTCGTTTGGCATGAATCCTCAGTTCGCTACCAATGAAACGTCGGCGACGAATGCCTCGCTTGAGAATCTCAAGGTCTGTAGTCCTTCGAATGCTCAAACGGTGCAGACGACTGGGTTTAACGCGGCTAGTACAGCTGGACAACAGTCGATATTCGGCCAAGCGGCCACGGCGCCCATATTCAAAACGTCCCCTTTCACTTTCGACTCCGACAAGAGTGTCTTTGGCGGCGCCTCGCTGAAAACTTCGTCGCTCTTTGGCGAGAGCAGCGGTGACAATGCCGTTTCTTCTTCCACCGCTACAAAGACGATCGCCACCACGGCGAATTCCGTGCCGAAGACGTCGACAGTGGTCTCCACGTCCAACCAGTCCTCCAACTCGGTATTCGGTGATACGTCTTTCTCTAAAATGTTCGGGGGTAACAGCGCCTCGCCATTCAGTAGCTCCACGACGACGACAAATATCTTCAGCGGAACGGCCGTACCGACGACGACCAACTTGTTCGGTGGGACGACGGCAGCGACGACGACCAACATCTTCGGCGGCATGGCTGCGGTGACGACGAGCAACATCTTCGGCAGGACAGCGGCACCGACGACGACCAACATTTTCGGCGGGTCGACGGCACTGACCGCGACAAACGTCTTCGGAACAGCGGCGGCGACGAATGTTTTCGCCACGACCCCAACATCGACTGTCTTCAGCGCGAAGCCGTCGGACAACGTTCCGAAGAACGAGGACGATAATTTCTTCACAGCGAATAACATGTTCTCGGCACTCGCTGCGGCGACGGCGCAGCCGGAGGCCTTCAAAGTCGGTACGTCTGAAATTATGCGGTTAAAGAAGCCATTGCTATTGAATGATACTGTGAATCAGATTGAGTATCTAAAATGATCTTTCGACAATATCCTTGCCGATTACGTACAGCTTTTTCGGTATGTTTCATTTCGTGCCGATACTTTCAGATCCCGACTTTTCATTCGCTGGCGCGGGATCATCAGTATTCAGCTCGAAATCCGCTACGTCTCTGAACAGCTCGTCGACGGTTCAAAACAAATCACGCGAAGATCCCCAGCAAAAGGAGGATAACGAGGAGGACGACGGTGAAGTAGATAATGAGCAGGAGCACGATCCTCACTTCGAACCTATTATACCTTTACCGGATGCCATCGAAATTCGAACTGGCGAGGAAGATGAGGAGAAAGGTAGCCTTAGATATCTTCGTTTATCGTTTCGAATTGGAATCTTTCAGCTTCATTGAAGCGGGGAAACTTGCCTGAAGATTGCTATATTCATCAACGAAATTAATAATAAAATGTTTGATTTATTTAATTTATTGTTGTCGAAACGTAACAAGACATTCCTTCATTCATTACTTATTCTAAAAATTATTAAGTGGTTTGGTGACTCAACTTATTTGTTCAAGAAGAGACTGTTCACTTTTGAGATTACTCGAACCCTGTTTTCCAAGTTCTGCTCTCCAAGCTCTGTTCTTTTGCAGTGTTCTGCCACAGAGCCAAGTTGTACAGATACGACAACACCACGAGGGAGTGGAAGGAGCGCGGGATCGGTGAGATGAAGATCCTGCATCACGCGGGCCACGGCAGTTATCGGTTGCTGCTGCGCCGGGAACAAGTATACAAGGTCGTTTGCAACTTCCTAATCACTTCCGACGTGGAGTTCCACCCGCTCTCTACGTCGGATCAGGCCTGGATGTGGGCTGGTATGAACTATGCCGAGCAGGAACCGTGCGTCGAACAGTTAGCAGTTAAATTTAAATCGCCCGATCTGGCCAAGCAATTCAAGGCGCATATCGATAATATTCAACAAGAATTGCGTGAGAAGAGAACTACTGAAGGTAATAGTTAACTCGCGAGATTGTCAGGCTGTAAACTCTTGTACAGTATGCTCGTTACTGTTTATCTCTGTGTTAAGCATTTGTTTTCTGTCATATATGCGAATTCGATTAATTAATATTCGTTGTATTTAAATTTAAATTGAAGATATATCAAGCGATACTTATCGTATTTATCTGTTATACAAAACAAGTCAATACACACATGAAAAGAGTATACGTGTGTTTCTAAATTAAACCAAGTAAAGCTGTCTTGATATTTTATGTCTCGCGATATTCGTAAAGCTACGAATGCTAAATATAATCGCGTACTTTTTAACGAAATGTATGTATAAACACTTCAATTAAAGAGCGGTCTCGCATGAATTTATATTTGCTAGGTGAGAGGTGCATCGGCGAAGCGGAAGACGGCGAGGAACACGACCGAAATAATGACGTGGACGAGGAACAAGAGGAAGAAGAAGAGGATGACGAGGACGAGGAGGAGGAGGACGAGGAGGACGAACATGAGATGATTCCCATAATCGAGAAACGTGCTACTGTGTTTGCAAGATGGCCTAACGACAACAAGTGGGAGAGTGTGGGCTTAGGGAATCTGGCAATCCATTACGATTCCGAAATCTACGCGGAAAGAATCGTTCTGAAGCTCGACGACTCGGAGGAGTATGCGAGCAACACCATCATCAGTATGGATACAGTGATGCGGGTAATAATTGTATTCGTATACATATGAGATGTACTGCAAACTCGTTTTTCTTTTGCAAATATTAATAACACGAATAAAGCTTCCCTCTCCATCGCAGCAACTAATGTGAGATGAAAGATTTATTGAAAAAAATGTACGATTTATGATTAATTTACAAAAAAAAGATGTACGAGTTTCTGAGCATCTTCTATTGCTTTATGTATTTGAATGTCTGTGTCTTATTCTCGTATCTTTGTGAAATTGAATGTTTGTAGATTAATATATGCAGAAAACTACGTAGGTCTTTGCTAGCGTATAGTTATATCTTTTACTCACTGTTCTTGTATCGTCACAAAGGTGGAAGGCAAAGAGTGTATTTGGAGCGGGGTTGATTACGCCTTGGATCCTCCAGTAAGGAGAGTTCTGAGGGCAGTCTTCTCATCGGTGCAAGCAGCGCAACAGATGCATACGTTTTTCGAAGATGTAAGCAAAGCTCGACCATGAGATTAGAGATACTTAACGAAAATATACGGAAAATGCAATACGAAATATTTCTTCACAGGGAGTGGACAGCGCGAAGCAAGCTGGTGTCGTCGAGTATCATGAAGCAGAATGAAGATTTTTAGTTAATAAGTAGCTACGCTAATTGGCTGTTGTTACATAATTCATTACCTTCCTACGTTAGCGTAAATGTTAAACAGGTTGTTTTTGTCGCTTCTATCAAGTTGTAAGAATAAGTAAGGGAAATCGTATCATTCGCTAGATTTTTACCCGCTTTTGTTCTTTTCTTCTCTGTTTTTAGAATCAAGACACGCGGAGTTCGACAAATACAATTGTATATGCACGCGCGAACACAAGGTGCAAGTTCCCTTTGTAATAATTTTATGTTCGGTAAGAAATACTTATTTATAGTAACTGCACAAACTGGAAAAAATAGAAGATCAAACATTTAATTCGTTCATTTTTTTATACTAGTCTATATAAGAAAGTTTCTCTTTTGTTTGTTTTTATTTTTGTTTTTTTTTAAATATGTGCCAAAACTGAAAATCGCTTTCTACCTTGCAAGGAAAGCACCATTTCCGTAACTATACTGGTAACTATTTTTAAAAAGTTGTCTATAGCTATTTATATACTTTTAAGTAGACGTTTGCAAAAATCTCGGTGAAAATCACACGTTATATGCTCACGGTTACCAATAAGTAAGATATTGACACAAACACAACATTCATGCTGATAATTTTCTACCAATTATGATGGTACGTTGAAAGGATGGTCGAGATTAGTTTTGATTGGATTGTAAAGAGTTGTTCCAGCACCGAAATTAACAGCTGTTGTAAATACTACGTGATCCTATAGTTACATCCGATTAAGTGTAATTGTAATACCTTGGACTGACATAGGATGAATTGTCGCATGACAAAATATGTAAACATTAACGATATAACGATGTTGTAACGTGTAACGTAAGAATATTAAACATTTAATCGAAATATTACTTTTAGAAACTATTTTTCTCAGGTAAGTGACATTTCCCACATTATGTTAATCCTGCAACAATCTAACACGTGTATTAGCAAGATGGATTTATTGTAAGACTCGAATACAAATCAAATCTCTGTACCTATCGTAAATAAATAAATTAAGGACTCACAGTTGTAACAAAACCTGCGTGTAACGAAATTTCCCTTTTAGCGAAATATATACATTCTGACAATAAAAATTGCACGATCTAAGTAAAATTTCTGATATTCCGAGAGATTCGAATGCCAGTCTGGCTCGGGCTAAACTCCTTTCCTTATTTAAAAGAGAAAAGGGATAATATAAAAACGGCTGTCGAAAGCGAGTGACTAGACATAACACGACCTTTGAAATTCTATATATTGAACTGTCGACACGAGTGTAATACGTGTCAGTACAGATAAATAATTGTGGAAATATTTAGCCGATGAGTTGTCAATAAAATAGCCGAATTGTCATCGTGAACAGGTGAGATAGTATCTCGTGGAGGAAAAAGAGTACACAGCTAAAACGAATAATTCGCATCGGTTTTCGAAAAGAATTTTTAATATAAAACTTTTTTTATACGCGATTTTTAACACACTAGGTAAAAGAGTGTAAAATCTACGGTAACCGCACGAAAGAGAGATAGATACGATCTCGCGTATCAATACAGACGTGCAACGTGACAAGGTACACGTTAGAGGCACAAGTGAGATGACGCGTTAAAAGGTCCCGGTCTACCGGCTCTCCCCTCTTCCAACGCCATGATGAAGCAGAAACATCTCGACAAACATAAACTGAACATTCGACGCTATCCACGTCGGTGGACTTTGAGCCTCGAGTGGGTATATCATCGGGTCTTCATCGCATTCCGGTTGTAACAGTTCTAAAAGTGACTCGAAGTGAGACTCGCCACGATGACGGCCGTAACGAAAGGTATGTCCACGATTTTCATCTCATCCGAATCCTCGAAGATGCATTGTGAGGAGCGTCACGTCGTTGATCGAGAAAATACAATGCAAGCTCATTGAAAACAAGTCTGTCTGCTTGGCACCTGCTAGCACCTTGAATATTAAAAGCGAATCCGATCAAACTCCGATTAATTTAATTGGTGATGAATTTGTTGGGTAATACTTGTACTATTTCAGTAACGCGGGTAGAATTATTCATTTTTTTTGTCGTTTAACATATGGAAGAAAAGACTCGATCAGGGACGAAATCTATAGCTAGAAATTTACTTGAAACAACTCAATCGTTTGAATTTATCGTTGATTAAATTAAACGGTGTTTAGTTGTCGGGCAAAACGAGTAGCGCCTCAAGGAGAAAATGTCTCCCTGCGTCACGAGCTTATCAAATATTTCAAGATAAGACACACATAGAATGTTCGATTAGAATATTCTGAAATTAAGAATATTTGCACTCCAGAAGAACATTCATAGAACTATGTGTGCTATCTGGGTGGGTGCTTTCTAGCATGAGACACGGTGTAATACAGATAATCATTTATCCTCGTTTAATAATGGCAAACAACAAAGATAAAACGATTCACTGTGTATACGTGTCATATCGAATAAAAAAAATGTTCACCTAAAACCTAAAACCACAGGATTCATAATATATTTCAAGACAGAGACGAAATAAGAAAGTAAATTAAATTGCTGATTGCATTCTGACTCCTTAAGGTGTGTTCTGCCACAGGTATTTTCATTGTCGCTGCAAAGCGCACCCCATTTGGCACAATGGGAGGCATGTTTGTAAACAAGAATGCAACCGATTTGTCAGTTGTTGCATCAACCGCCGCAATGCAGGCAGCAGGCCTAAAACCGGAGAAGATTGACAGCGTGGTATTTGGACATGTCATGGCGGTAAGCGTTTCCACTTGTAATCAACAATTGCAAACGGATCTCGCGATTACAATGGTGTACTTTTAATTCGACTACCTTTATAGAACTCATCCTCCGATGGTAGTTTCTTGGCGAGGCACGCCTTGTTAAAATCAGGAATTCCATTACAAAAACCAGCACTTAGCGTAAACAGATTATGCGGCTCCGGCTTCCAAGCAATTGTCAGCGGTGCTCAGGTGAGCGAAGGATTCCATCACTTCTAAAAATGTTATTTTAATTTAGATGACAAGTCTAAGGAGTGTAAAACAGCTTGCAGTTGTATATTAAATATTAATAAGCCACAGTGTAAAAATTAAAGTTATTAGCATTACTGCAGCATACGATGTTTCCTTTTCAGAACATTCTAATAGGAGATTCGAAGATTGTCTTGACGGGTGGTGCAGAAAACATGAGCCAAGCTCCTTTTGTCGTGAGAAACATTCGTTATGGCACTGCTTTAGGACAGAAGTATGAATTTGAAGACTCACTCTGGCTTGGATTACTCGACACCTATTGCAATTTGCCCATGGGTCTCACCGCGGAGAAACTCGGTGCTCAGTACAACTTAAAGAGGGAAGAGGTCGACCAATTTGCCATGAATAGTCAGCAACGTTGGAAAGCTGGTAGATATCAACGAAATCCTATATAACATGAAATTATATCTGTTAGCTATTAATAAATAGAATTGCTAAATTTTTTAATGAATCAAATAAATTTGAATTGTACAATAGGCGTCTATTTAAAAATATTACAGCCAACGACGCGGGTTATTTCAAAGAAGAAATAGCGCCAGTGCAAGTGAAAGTTAAGAAGCAGGATACAACTGTCAGCGTAGACGAGCATCCACGTATACAAACGACGCTACAGACCCTTGCCAAACTGAAACCAGTTTTCCAGAAAGATGGATTAGTCACAGCTGGTTCTGCATCGGTATAGACTGTTTTTCTTTTCATTTCATAAAGAGACCTTTCATACCTTTATGTCAATCTTTCCTGGTTTAATTAATTCAGTTGTTTTCATTTCTCAGGGCGTCTGTGACGGAGCGAGCGCTGTTATTTTAGCTAGCGAGGAAGCAGTCAAGAGCGAAGGCTTGAAGCCATTGGCACGTTTAGTGGGCTACAGCGTTGTTGGTGTGGATCCAAGCATTATGGGAATTGGTCCTGCACCAGCAATCAAAAACTTGCTTAAAGCTGCGGGCAAGACGCTTGATGACATGGAACTCGTCGAGGTGAGATTTCAATTAATGCAGAAAAATCTTGTCTTATCAAGCGGCATCTTTGACGCAAAGATGTGAAAATATTTAATATGGGAAGTAATTAAATGTACAGTTTAGGTTTGTATTTACTAACGTCGTGCACTACGTGATTTCTGATAGATCAACGAAGCATTTGGAGCGCAGACTTTGGCGTGTGCAAAGGAGCTTAATCTGGATCTGAATAAATTGAACGTAAATGGTGGTGCTATTGCTGTAGGACACCCATTGGCCGCTTCCGGTAGCAGGATCACTGCTCACTTGGTGCACGAACTTAGGTAATATATCTCGTAAGGTCATAAGCACATTTTTATTAACATGCTGACCTATACATATTTTATTCACAGGAGACGAAAGGCTGGAAAATTCGGTATCGGCTCGGCTTGCATCGGCGGCGGTCAAGGTATCGCTGTGATGGTGGAAGCGCTGTAATCAACCGAGAAGTTGGAGAGCTCTTAAATCTTTTAAAGATATAGCAATATACAAACAGGTCCAATGGCAAGTGACAAGTGTGATATGTCGTAGGATTTATCTGTGCCAACAATTACTAATCCCTTTTCGCGGTCTAGTGATACAAGAATCATAAAAAATATTTTTATATGCAAAAAGTTTGTATATACTTTTGTGTACGTAATAATGCATTGTTAAATAAAACTAAAACATTTGTAATTAACAGTGTAGGAAAATTGATAATCGACACAACTGGCAATTTTGATTAGAGACAAGTTGTTACGAGAAAAGCTACTTATACAAGTAGAACTAACGTGAAATGATAAAAGTGACTAGAGCATGACTTAAGAACGCGCTAAACAAACAAGTATTAATCTATTTCCTGGCCATACAAAGAAAATCATGACAAATATTTTTATACATAAAACCTTTATATACACTTGTACACATAATACATTGTTGAAGAGAACATTTATAATTAACTCACTGCTCTTTGTAAAGAAAATATAGCTACAAAGTTATCCGGTATTATTCGATATTATCGACGATTTTATCATTAAACAGCCGAACCTTGAAGTACTGTAAAAATTGAATAGGACGTCCGCATTATCTGAAATACACGGAAGCTATTAGCTTCATTCAAACGTTCTAGGATTCTGTTTTAATTTAAGATAGTTTAGTTTTAGAGCCACTGACATATTTAGATGATTTTTATAGGTATTATTTAAGATCATTCAAAATAAAAAGATAGGCGAATTGTTTCAATATCAAGACCACAGCTTTTGATTTGCACAACTGAAAATTAAATGCGATTGTGCTTTACTGCTACAAAAAGAAATATAAAATTTAGATCTTTAAAGTATATTTGAGTGAGTTTTATTTTGAGACAAAACGTCTGATAGAAATGTACGAACCTGCACGAAAGTGTCTAAAGATAATAACATGACCTTGCCGGCGCTCAAAGTGAGCGGTCGGTGAGCCCTTGCCATCACGATTTGAAGGCCGCGTTTGAATCCTTCGGTGCTGGAGAACCAATTGCTCGAGTACGCGGCTGTGACTAGGCGCATACTCTAAAAATCGTGCATATTTCTCTCCCATCTACATACGGAAGTATTGCTTTAACTATTTTAATACTCACATGCAGATACAATTCATTACCGTGCCAGCAGAAGATGAATATTTGATACGTCATGCAACACATGTACGTCAGCATGCCGACCAGCACCGCCGGGATATAAACTTTCATCTGTGGTGCAATGCGATTGCATGAAACCTCACAAGCGAGCCGGTTGAAACAATCGAATTTACCTGTGACACTTTGAAGGCGATCAAACAAATAATTATGCAGTTCGAAAGGAATTGGAAGAAAATGACGGTACCAAAGATGTCCTGGATCTCGTTCGTGAAACTGCAAATCAATGTAGTTAATCGCAAATAAAGCTAAAACACAAACGGATAATTCATTTCATCGATTATCTTTGACAGTCATATTTTTGCGATCTAATTCAAGAGAATGTAAATTCACGAATTAAGTTCATACAATTTTCTGAAAGACTGACAGAATATATAATTTTATAAGATTATAACAATACTTTGCTATCATCCTGCGATATTTCAAAACGTCTCAAACTTACTGAAATATCATATTATTGTGAACAGCGCAACGCTTGAGTAGTCGATAAGACAAGACTCTCCTTTCAACCGCAAGTGATTTGCCCTTGTCATTCCGCACCTCGCGGATGCTTTCCTCGTTATCAATCGAGATAATTTTGCGCTCTAGGATCGCCAGCTGGGAACAGGCGACCGCGACCAAGCCTGTCATCAGGGTATCCATCGCCACGTTGTGAAAGCAAGCGATTATGATAGCGATACCCTGATGCGCCGCAGTGATCTCGAAGGCCGGCGTTACTGTCGTGTTGTAAGGATACCATCCCTCCATGGGCAGCCGGCGCGAACGACCAGCGACCAGATCGGCGATCGGAGTAAAACCCCAGCAGAACACCGCTATTCCGCCAAAGCTCTGATAAACCGCGTGATGAAAGATGCCCTTCCATGCGTAGCTTATGAGTAGATCCTTATATTCCTCGTCGTAGCGACTGAATGCTGGACTGTTGGCTGTGTCCAGGAGCGCCTGAATCCGTGGTTGACGACGAAGAAGAACGACCACCTGGAAATGTCGATATTTCATTTATTTTCTACTTTTCGTAGACTTGTAAGCATATTCTGTGTAGTTGCGTTATTCAAGAAAAGTATTATTTATATCTCATCGATATAATTAAAAAAATTCTTTAGGTTTAGAGACAAAAATTCGTCGTTATTACACTTGAGAGATCGTATACAGATGATAAGATATCATGATAAAAGAAAAAAAATAGATTGTGCGATGGCCGGGAATCGAACCCGGATCAACTGCTTGGAAGGCAACTATGCTAACCATTACACCACCATCGCACCTTGCTACTCTCTCTCGCATTTAGCCTACTAGATCCCGATCTAACTGCAGTTGAGAAAACATTTAATTTTATTTTAACATGAAAAATCCGATACTCACGATTGTTATTTGATAAATATATGACGTGAAAATACAAAACAAAATTTGCATCGCTATCTATTTTATTAATTTTATCCAAATAAAAAATGATATTCTTTCAAGGGCAGAAAAGAGATGCACAGCAATTGCATAATCTCTTATCAGTATTATCTTTAGTTCAAGAGAAAACAATGATAAACCGCAAGCATAAACAAAATTGTATTATATTCAATTCAATTTTCAAGATTGGTTTTAATATCATACCAAAATGTCGCATTATATTATACACGTAAAAACAATGATGTTGTATCAACGATATCAGTGTAATTGAAATAAAATCAGTATTAATGAATGAAACACATCAGATAGTCGTTTTAATAATCATTTTTATTTGGATATTTAGTTTAATGCTTAAAATAAAAATCTATAGCAAATACAATTGAGTGAATTATTTATATATGTTTGTGGCAGTCCGTGACATCAACGTTTAATTCAATCAACGTAATGTTTAATTTAACAGCATTTTTTCCGTGTATAATGTTGCATATATTCGGATCACAAGCTTACAAATAATTGCAATTACCTTCGAAGCGTGGGTGCAATTTGTCATCAACAAAGTCGCCACCGCGACGAGTCTCGACATATCTCCCCAGTGTGCGAGAACATTTGCTATTTCAGCGCTGAGCAAGATACCTAGGATGAAGGTAAAGCTACAAGCGGTGTAAAACAGATACGGTAATCGGAATTTGCCCACTGGCGGCCATGTGCCCAGGAAGTAGATAATCATTAAGCTCACTCTCAAGTGAAAATTCGGCGCAATCGTTCCTCCTTCCTTCATTTTCCAATTGGAGAATCGAATGTCATAAATACCTCAAGTTTAATTCGATGACAAAAATATTCTATGAAAACAGAGACATTTGATTTTTTTGCATCTTTCTTTGCAGCAAACACACAATTTCTCACTAACACTTCCATTTAATTTTATGTAATTAGTTAAAGTCCTTAAGCAATTTAACGAACAGTTGACAGGAATTTCATAGACAATAACCTTGCACTTGAGTTAGAAAATTATAAAATTTTTAACAAATTAAAACCAAAAGATGTAATTAAAATGCTTGCAATTTGTGTTTATGATGTGTTAACAGTGTTTTACGAAAAAGAGGTACGAGGATTATCTGTATAGTTATGACGCTTATCGCTTAATGATTCACAGTGGATGTGCCATGACATTCGAATGTTTCCCTCCGGTTGCACCTTTGAATCGCTTACACTAAAATGCTTTTGTAATACTAGACTGGGCCTTCTAATTCAAGAGAAATTCCGTAGGTTCTCTAAGGCAGAAATTACAGCATTATGTAACGCTGGCTTGTAATCAATCGAATCGCTCCGCTTTCATCATATGAGTATGTTATTTACGAGTCGCGTGGCTTTATCAGGCTCGCTATTATGTTCAATTACGAAAGCAATTGACATATAATCTACGTAGGAATAATTGATCGAGCCGAAGCATTACCTATTCCCTCTGTGCAATTCTACGGAGCGACGACGGAAGGCAAACAGTGTTTTCTCGTAGTAATTCAGTATGTTGTGACAGTAAGTGTTGATAGTTAGAGTAGTGTCAGTGAACTCCATATCAGTTTTTAAATCCGTGATAAACTGAAAAGAAAAGAACTTTGACAAACATACTTCATAGGGATTACAAAACTTATAACAACTGGAGGCAAATAAAAGCTAAAGTATTTATTAATCTACAGTTTTCGAAAATGCAATTTAACACCTGCTGTTATAATATTATTTTCTGCAACTAAGCATAAATGGATTTTCCCCGCGTCTAAAACCAGTTTTATCGTTACAAGTGTAAATGTATCGAGTTATCATAAGATATGAGGCAAGCTCCTTGATAAATGCTGGTAAATATCTAAGCTGTCCGAGTATCTCCCAGATACCTCTGCTAACTATTTCAACACAAGCTCATTCTTTGTGTCGACGTGGTGCTTCGTCATCATCGTAAGAAATCTTCGTAACGATAAAGCATATATTCCAAGCTCAGTTGCGGCGCAAATGTCGAAGTAAATCGTCGTAACCTCCGGGATCCCATTCTCTGTCCGATAGGTAAACTCGAGGCGAGTTGCTTCAGTTACCTGTCACTTTGCAATCCACTCTCGCAGTTTCCATTTATATTCATATTTTATATCGGTTTCTGGATCACCAACCCGCTGCATACATCAAGTACACGCTCTGAAAAATGGCATCGCTGGCGCCAATGTTGAGTAAGGATGTGCCTGATATCGAAGTAAGTGCGAATTTTTGGCATATGTCGAGTGTAGAGAGCCTGTAATCAGAGACCATAAGAGTTGGTCAAATTCCTGCGAGTGAGAGAGAAACGATTCTACAATCGTAGAAGAATGAGCCAGCCTCTGATTACAAGGTCTCTAGTCGAGTAATTTCCGATTTAAATAATCTCCCAAAGAGAGATGTTTGCATACCTGAAATGAATAAAGCTATTGATTGATTAAGTTAATTCGTGCTATTAAAACTTTATAAATATTGCAATTTATGAATCCCCCAAGATAGAAATTCCTTTCAATTTATGTATCTTTTAGTTTTTTATTAACTATTATCTTATGTCGATGAGAGGGAGAGAACTATGACAACTACGATATCTTTGTTTTCTTGATTGACTAATAATAAATTATATATTTCAGAATATATTAAACATCAATCCAAAGACTAAAATTCACGCAAATCTCATTCCATCGGCGCACACCAAACAGAACAAGCAGCATTGGAAAAGAAACATCCATGAGAAGTGTAACGTAAGTCGCTGAAATATCCATATCCATCTTACCAATGTTTCTTAAAACTTTTAAATATTATACTTGTGCAGAAATACCATCAATATTGATTATGATATAATTTTGATAATAAGTAATTATCACATTATCAGATGTTACATAATGGGAGAAATATTTTACCTGCAAAACGATAATTCGTTGATAAGATTGAAGCGCAATTCTCGTTATGCATTCTTTTAAATGTATAGATTACACAATTGGGAATTCTTATTCTGCTTATTGATCATAACATTTTCGTTATTTTTACATTACAATTCTTAATGTTTTTGATTTTCCCTACAACATCCTGAAATTGGCGTAGGCTTTCCATAAATATCAATCAACTACATCTTACTCTTTCTTGTTTCCTCAGAGTTGCGTCTCTCTGACAAAAAACTTTGACGACATCAAACACACTACCTTGAGCGAACGCGGAGCTCTAAGGGAAGCGGCACGTTGTTTAAAATGTGTCGATGCACCTTGCCAAAAATCCTGTCCCACGCAACTGGACATCAAGTCCTTCATCACCTCGATTTCCAATAAGAATTACTATGGCGCGGCCAAGGCGATCCTGTCGGACAATCCTCTTGGCCTTACTTGCGGCATGGTTTGTCCAACTAGCGACCTTTGTGTGGGTGGATGTAATCTTTATGCGACTGAGGAAGGACCTATTAACATTGGTGGGCTTCAGCACTTTGCTGTGGATGTAAGAAATATTAATTAAAAAGATTTAACTTGTTACATAAAATACTGACAAAGATTCATATTGATAAAATGTTTAATAAAACAAGAATAATAGATATATGTGTATTTTGTGCTTATAAAATTGCTAAGCTAAAATCAATTATATTGTACACATTCCCCAAATATCTCTTCCTTAGTATACTTGTTTAATTTCTGAAGTATTGTATAATAGTAAGATATATTTCAATGTAATTTAATTTTTAAGTAATTAAATGATAAACATATATTTTGGCTTATATATGTTAAACGTTCTTCTTCAGATTTTCAAGCAGATGAATATTCCTCAGACTAGAATACCTAATCAAAGAGTCCCTCATGCAAACACGAAAATTGCTCTGCTTGGATGTGGACCGGCTTCTCTATCGTGTGCAACATTTCTCGCTCGACTTGGTTACAATGATATTACGATTTTCGAAAAAGAAAAGTATGTCGGTGGATTAAGCTCTTCTGAAATACCGCAATATAGACTCCCGTACGATGTTGTTAATTTTGAAGTGGATCTCGTCAAAGATTTAGGAGTGAAGATTGAATTGGGAAGATTGCTGTCTAAAAGTGATTTAACAATACAGGTAAAATTAGTTGAAAATTTTAGTAATTTATTGCATATGGAAATACTTGTTATATTTTTAAATAAAAAACACTAATCTACCAAAAATCGGTATGATTAATTTGGGAATAAATTTGAAAATGTTTCAGGGTCTTCAAGACAAAGAATACAAAGCGATTTTTGTAGGTATTGGATTACCCGAGCCAAAGAATATGCCGATCTTTGAACATCTCACGCTAGAAATGGGCTTTTTCACCTCAAAGAGTTTTCTGCCCGTTGTTGCGAAAGGTAGCAAGCCGGGGATGTGTGCTTGCAAGAGTAACCAGGAACTTCCATCTCTTTGGGGCAACGTGATCGTTCTCGGTGCGGGAGACACCGCTTTCGATTGCGCCACTTCCGCTCTACGATGTGGTGCTAGAAGAGTCATTGTTGTTTTCCGAAAAGGCTTCACCAACGTGCGGGCTGTCCCAGAAGAGGTAATAACCCATCTTATTTGCAACAGATCTCATATTTCTACTTAAACTCCAATCTCGCTAATCTGGAAATAATTAGAAAGAAGAGATTTTTAAATAAAAAAATTGAGCTTACAATTTTTTCAAGTTTAGACATTTAGAATTAACGTGACAAAATTTGATTATTCTGAGATTGTTTTTAGATGGATCTGGCAAAGGAAGAAAAGTGCGAATTCATACCTTTCCAATCGCCGAAAAGAGTCATCCTTCGCAATGAGCGGATCGCCGCAATTGAATTTTGCAGGACCGAACAGAATGAGAATGGCGAATGGATAGAAGACGAAGAGCAAAAGGTCATTTTGAAAGCAGACTTTGTGATTTCAGCTTTTGGTTCAGGACTGTACGATTCTGCTGGTGAGTAATAATTTTATTTCAATAAACATACACAAAATTAATATGCAAATAAATAAAAACAATGGTAGAGAAATAGAAATAGTCGATGTAAAATTTTTCGGACGATAAAAAGATTAACTAGCTATTTAATTTTCTTCAATTTAAGGAGTCTTTTATTCGTGGAAATAATATATTATAAAATAGCAATTTCTGATTAAAAAATTAAATTAATATATGTATATAAATTAAAAAAGAGAGAAACAATGCGAGTAAAATGAATAAAAATTATTTGCACCGTAAAAACAGTGAAGCACGCCATGGCGCCGATTAAAATGAACAGATGGAACTTGCCGGAAGTGGACGAGACGACAATGATGACTTCTGTGCCAGGTGTGTTCTGCGGGGGCGACCTTGCGGGTGTTGCTCAGACAACCGTGGAATCCGTAAATGATGGAAAGACAGCTGCATGGTACATTCACAAATACATACAGGTATGTTAGTACAGCTAGTACAATGTCTCCATTAATTGCTAACAAAGTCAATTCTTTACAGAATATTGCGAATATAATTTGAGAAAACATGGGATTTCTTTAGTAATATATTTCTCGATGAATTTAATAGTATATTAATAATATAATGATGCAATAATATAATAAAAGCAAATTTGTCCTTATTTTTACTTGCAAATGAATCTATAAAATGCATAAAATAAAGCTTCATTAAATTAATATTTTCCAAAAGAAAATAATTTCTGTCATTCCAATTCTCTTGTTATATCTTGATTTTTGCATTGTTTAGGAATTGTACGGTTTGACGGTGCCGGAAACTCCGCAATTACCAAAGTTTCATACTGCTGTTGATGATGTTGACCTCAGTGTTGAGGTATGCGGAATGAAATTCGAGAATCCATTCGGTCTTGCTTCCGCGCCACCTTGCACCTCCAGCGCGATGATCCGGCGAGCTTTTAAGGCCGGCTGGGCCTTTGCTATCACAAAAACCTTCTCCTTGAACAAGGTATTTTATTAAGAAATAATCGCCAAGTCACAAGTGACATAATTCCATTCCCAAATCCGTGTTCTCAATACTTTGTCATAGGATCTCGTTACCAATGTATCGCCGCGCATCGTCAAAGGCACTACGTCTCGTCATCATTATGGACCCGAACAGGGAAGCTTTTTGAACATCGAATTGATATCCGAGAAAACCGCCGATTATTGGTGCGGCAGCATTACTGAACTGAAACGAGATTTCCCGACAAAGGTATATATACTTTTTGCTTGGCTTATGTAATAAAATTAATATGTGTATAATAAATAATATAATAGAGTTAACATGTGTATAATGAGTAATAAAATTAAAATAATTTCACATTAAAATTGCTAGCGATCAACATTGTGGGTGCTTTCAGGCGACACTGTATAACACAATGAATTGTTTTATCTTTGTTGTTTGCCATTGCTAAACAATGATTCTCTATGTTACACTACATGTCAATCTGTGTCTCTTGTTGGAAAGCACCCTTCATTCGTTACATTTTATCAAACATTTTTGCAGATCGTCATTGCGAGTATCATGTGCACATATAACAAAGTTGATTGGACGGAACTAGCGAAAAAAGCGGAAGCAGCTGGTTCTGATGGCTTGGAATTAAATCTATCCTGCCCGCATGGTATGGGTGAGTCCGGAATGGGTCTGGCCTGTGGACAAGTTCGTTCATTAATTTTTTATCTCTCTTTCTAGTAAATCTCCAAGTATGAAATGGGTAAAACAAAAATAAAAATTGTTTCAGGACCCTGAACTTGTTAGAAACATCTCCAGATGGGTTCGTGATGCCGTCAAGATACCGTTTTTCATAAAACTGACACCCAACATCACGGACATCCTTTCCATCGCCAAGGCAGCTTACGAGGGTAATTAAAATTATTTATATTAAAGCGACGCATACGATGTGCAAAGTAACAACAGAAATTACAGTGTTGAATAATTATATGTTAAAGAATTTTAAGGACTCAGAGCCGTGACAGGATGGTAGTGTCTAAATATTCTATTCTAAATTTCTCGATTTCGAATACTGTCACGATAGGTGGCACTCGGGAATCAACATTAGACTGTTTATTGCGATGAGTATTGCCATGTGCCTCGGTGGTCGAATTGGTTGAGACGCCCGCCTAGCGAGAGGGAGGTCCAGGTTCTCAAACCCTGGCCGAGGTGATATTTTTTCGCAATAAATTTAGAATAGGATATTTAGACACTACCATCCTGTCACGGCTCTGAGTCCTTTAAATTCTTTGAAATTTGTGTTTAACACATACGAGCCTTACTAATTTATTTAATTATATGTTAATTGTCTATTTAAATATTAAGAATACTATGATATTCAAAGCAAATTTCACGCATCTTCTTAATCCTTAAATTCACTGAATTGTTACAAAAGCTCGCAAGCCAAAGAATTTAATATAATATCTATGTAATTAATTAATAATTATTATTTATGACACAGGCAGAGCCTATGGCGTTACCGCCATTAACACGGTATCAGGATTAATGGGATTGCATGCTGATGCGACTCCATGGCCAGCGGTCGGCCTCAGCAAGTGCACAACGTATGGCGGAGTGTCGGGCAATGCCACCAGACCCCAAGCCCTGAAAGCTATCTCGACGATCTCGAAGCATCTTCCGGGATTTCCAATACTCGGTACCGGCGGTGTTGACTCAGCCGACGTCGCTTTACAGTTCTTGCATTGCGGTGCATCAGTGGTCCAGGTATTATCGGATCTTTTCGTATCTCGTGATGTTACTTCTAATCATTTCCTCTCTTTATTCTGGTTCTCCATTATCCTTCTATCACTTCATATTTTCTACATATGGAATGCCATGCATAAAATTAGATTTTATAACAAAAATAAAATCTGCACGTTTAGCAATTATATTGATTTACATTGATAATGTTGTCAAAAATACAAAACTAACCAAATACTTTTTAATAGATCTGTAGCGCCATTCAGAACCAAGACTTTACAGTGATAGACGACTATGTGACCGGCTTGAAGGCATTACTATATTTAAAGAGCTTAGCGCAGGTGAAGGACTGGGACGGTCAGAGTCCACCAACGTTCAAACACCAGAAGGGCAAGCCCGTTTCCTTGCAACACGCCCTTGGCAAAGTAAAAATTACCAATTAATATCTCGACAATGTAAAGTAAACGGATAATTAAAAGACGCTTTTGCAGAATGTACCGTATTTCGGCGAATATCAAAAGTTGCGCGAGCAGAAGATAGCTGAGCTGAAAATGCACTCGAATCCCTTGGACGAGGTTGTCAAGACGATGCGACCAGCTCCAAGATCAATCGGGCCGATACCTACTGTCAATGACATAATCGGCAAAGCATTACTTCATATCAGCAACTACAAGGAATTGGATAACAAGAAACAAGTGGTCGCCTTAATCGACGATGTACGTTGAACAAATTTCAATTTAGCTCGATTAATTTTATTTATTATTGCGTAACGCAACCTCGTATTTATTTGCCGTCCTTTTTCAGGACATGTGTATAAATTGCGGTAAGTGCTACATGGCTTGTGCGGATTCCGGTTATCAGGCGATCGCCTTCGACCCCGACACCCATATCCCGAGAGTGACGGACGACTGCACTGGATGTACACTTTGCTTATCCGTCTGTCCGATTATTGACTGCATCACGTAAGTTGCAAAGATAAAATATCTAAATCCATTCTACCTTGGGCCTCTGTTTCAGTTCTGCTTTCCGGTTTATCCTTATTATTCCATTTATTTTCAGTATGGTCCCAAAAGCAATTCCACATGTAATTAAAAGAGGTGTACCGCCGAAAAATGTGATTGATATTTATTGAACGACAACTCCACGTTCTTGTCCAAAGAGAATTACGATATCATCACTCTGCGTACAAATAATTAATTATCGAATTATTATTAGCATCATCATAAAGAGAAAATATTATGTGTGTGGTATACATGTAATGAAATTAACGATAGCTCAACATTATATAATTAAATAGTATTGATAATTATCCTAAGTATGTAGTCGGTGTTATTAATAAACATTTTAATTGAAGAAATAGGATAGAGGATACGGATAGTTCTTTGTAGTTACCAAGTTCTGCTTACATCATCAAGTCATCGCTTTATTTACATTGCATATCGCATCTGCATTACAATGCATCAGTGCATGTATTAAAATATAGTTTTAGAGTACATTGTGCACAATAAGAGCTTTACAAAATGTATAATTAGTATTCTCTCATCTTACTTCAAGAGTCTAATCACTGTTTGCTTTTCTTTTAAATCAAGCGTCCTAAATAAAATTGTAAATTTTGCCAAATAATAAAAAAAGTCATGAAATTGTTACAAGAATTGCAGAATTGCGAAAGTATTTTTTTAAATATTATATTCTTATAGATCTTGAAAGTTTTATACCTAAGATCACATCTTTGAAATTAACTGAATCTTCCTTTGTTTCATCAAACTCGTAAATCTGCGCGCGTGCGGCTGTTGCGACTGTTAACCCAACCAATTTGGGAACCAAGGGAAACTAGATTTGGAATAGTTGGGACTGTCCATCCACTTGTACTTCGTGCAGTGGTCCTTACATTCCGTCTCGTCTTCTAAGCTGAAATTGTGTGTTTCAATTAAACTTAACCGGAATTTTTATTTATGTTTTAATATATGTAATACAAAAACAATCAAAGTAAATTATATTTCATACAAGATTCTTCTCTTTGCAGTATAAACATATATTTATTTCTTTATAGTCACGAAAATGATAAAAGTAAGAATAAATTAAATAAATAATAATTGTAATTATCTGTTTTTAACTGTGTCTTACTTGCAATCTTTCATCGGGCATATGCACTGGAAACACTGCTGTCGCAGTATATTAAAATACATGAATCCAATCTTGTTGGCAACTGGACTGTCGGCCTTTTCCAGACACTTGAAGAACGCAAAATCGCAAGTACAAGCAGACCTGTTTTCAAAAAATTATATAAACTTGGTAATAAAGAAACTAAGAATTAATACTCATATTATCTCGCTCGTTCAATTACCTCGTGAAAATACCGTTGTTCTCGATATTGACCTGCGTGTCGCCGGCCATCATATCGTTCTTGCAATTATCGTGATCTCTGCAACAGGAGTCTGTTCTGTCGAAAAAACCGAGATCGCCCTCGTTACGCGCTTTATCTCCATCGCCGCACCAGCGTGTTCCTAACACATTTCGAATTATTAGCGGAATAAATGAAAAACAACAACGCAAACTTCCAATTATGAACAATAAAATAATTAATTCTTTTTCTCAAGTATTCAACTACTCAAGAACAAAAAGGTCAATTTAACGTCACACTGACCAAAATATGACGCAGATTTGACCAGGTCAAATTGACATTATATTGACTTTTCTGTTCTCCTTGAATACATGCGCACTTTATTACGCAGGAGTCTGTCGAAATTAATTTCTAGTACGTAGATGAAACAAAGCTGCTAATGAAATAACATAAATCATCAATAAAGAAATATATACAATTATAAAAATTAATCTCGCTTTCCGTAATTTATCTTATGGTACTGTAATTCCTGAGAGACATGGAATTGCGAGATTTAGAGTTGCGAGAGCGATGGAAAATTTAAGTTAATGCAATTACAAAAACGCACGGTATATTTTCTACAAAAAGAGATTAATTACAAGACACTGGTAGAAATTTATTAATAGCGTTAAAATATCGATTGTCTCCGTCTTCAATAGATTCAAGACATCCAATTGGATTCAGCTTAAGCACTTTGTGCTTCGTGGAAATTTTACACAGCACACTGCACACCTGCCTATTAACTTTATAGCAATATCGCGCACGATGGTGAGAAAAACTTCCTACGGTAAAAAGATCCTTGAACGCATCAACAGTCAATTATTGCACCCAATGATATGTTTCTTGCGGAATTTTCCGACAAGCTGATAATTTGCGATATGATGACTCCTTCTTGTTTACATGTTTGCAACGATGGAGAGTATGTTTCTTGAAAGCATATTTTTGTACAATTAATATTAATTAATTGTAATTTCCATCTTTTGTACATTATAAATGTTTTCAATTTTCAGCAGAAATTTGCATTGTATATTCTTACTCGATATTTCCTCGTTTCTCCACAAAATAAATAAGCCATTAAGATAAAACATGTGGCGTTTATTTGCGAATTACATAAACGATCGTCTATCTTTCCTGTCTCAAGAGAGCTATATATTTATAGATTACTTATATATAAATAATTTACACATGAGTACATTAATTAAATTTTTGTAATAGTAGTAAAAATTTCAAACATTAACGATTCTCTTAATTTAATAAATCATATTGAATGATAAGCTATTACTGACAAATGCCGCGAAACGTATATGTAAATTTTACTGCTCCACGTGTCGTTAAATAGATAATTATATCTCTTGGAATTAAATGAATGAAATTTTAACTTGACAATCATTTGCACATGTTGAAAATTAATTTTTTATAGCAACCGCAATAAACCTTTGTCCCAACATAACAATTCTGCGAAATGACAAAAAACACTTGTGAAAATAGTAGTTTATCGTTCAAACTCAAGGTAATATTATCATCCATTAACGTCAATTCACCAATCTTCAAAAACGTTTAATCAACCAGATAACATGTTCACACATACTTAACTACATTTAATTAATGTAATACAGGGTTTAAAGTTAAAGATGTTTCGTAATTCGCAAATATTTGCAAAATATTATCTTCTATTATATTCTCAATTTTTTATGTTGCTTCTGTGTTAATCATTAAAAAGGGATCGATACATCAAAATTAATTGTGCGGAATCTACTTGTGTAAAATTATTTTATAACAATAGTCCATCCTTTAAGTTGAATATAGATTCCGTAACTTCGCAAAAAAATTATTCTTACTTCGAATTTTTCTTTCGCGTAAACTAACTTATCTTTTTAAAAATATAAGAGTATGCAGTATTAAAATATTAATTTTCAAAAATTTAACAAAAAGTACAAAGGCAAGTCCTGCAATATCGAAATATTTAAAATATTCTGTACATATTTTTCTGTAAAAAAACATCAAATAAAACTATCTTTCTACTTAAATACTTTTAATGTCTATTTTTAAGTAAAGAGAAACATTTTTCTAAGAGATTCATTTTTGCTACTTATAGTATGTAAATTCCTCAATTATTAATGATTGAATTACCTGGTAAGATGAAGCGAACGTAACGTTTAAATTTTTGTAGAATTTTGCCGAATCCTGTATCTTCAATTTTCGAATTATTCTTTCCGGAGTCTTTCAACATGGGTATCAGTAACTTTTCCAAAGACGATATACGAGTTTTATCGCCACCAAGTGTAATATTTTTATCATCACATTCGATGTTGGGTTGCTGGGTGACATTGTCTTCGCAATCGCCAAATTGAGCGGCGATGCTGAGGATGAAGAGCACAGAGAGGCAAACGAGTACACGTGACATCGTTTATTCACCTGGAGGAAATGACGGTGGGACAGTGGGAGAGGACCCTTTTAACAAATGAAATACATATACATACTCTAATTATGGATAAAAAATCGAGATGGAGAAGATGAATTAAAAAATGAAATAAACTTAGCTGCCCATGGTCTTGATTTCTAGATATAAAGACAAAGATGATAGGTCGTTGCCCATAATTGTGAATAAAAATGTTCTTTGACATCAAAATATTTGAGAAAAAGTTTTACACTAATGTTTATAAAATATTTTCAATTCTTGAAAAGATCTTGAAGGTGTAAGTGTCATTAAGGTGTGAATTAATTGTAACATGCTTTAACAATTTACCTGTATGTCGAGTTTATTTTCTATTGTCTGTCTTTCGTTAGTATTTGATGTATTATTGCTTAATACAGATCTACCTTTCCTGAGAAGCGAAAAAATAATACATATTTCTTTCATAATACAAGCATCTAGTTAATTATTACAATTACAATAACGTTTGATATTTAAATAAGTTTATAAAAAATGGTTATTGTTGTTAAACTTGTTTGTCGTAGCACACTGATATTTTAATTATCATAAATTGAGAACAGCAGATAATTACAAAAAGTAATACAGCGTATATATCGGCCTCAAATAATACAAAATGTCTTGGCTGGGATAATATTTTTCGCAATAAATTCTAATGATCCTTTTCTGAAGGATACTTATTGAATATCATTATTCAATTAATTATCAATTTAATTATGTATTATTTCGACTTCAATTCAGACTGTGTTTTAAGACCAAAAGTTATCGGTGCGCAGTTTGCTCAGTTGAATGCAAAAAACAAATGTTATTAGGCACTAAAGATTCCGCCTAGCCGTAAAAAGATAATATATTATTATCAAATACAACTATAAAACTGTATTTTGCGTTTGGAACATTGGGGATTGTACGTGTACATATTCTAGTTTGGAATAAAGCTATAACAAATGTTTGAAAAACGTTATTATACTTTCTTTTTCAAAATCTAACAATTAAAAAAATAACGTGATGAGATTTATTCAAGTCGATACAAATACTAAATTAATAAATTAGCAAGTTTCAAAACATCCTTTTCGAGGACACGTTTACTCGCTGTTCTGTGAAAAGTGTCACGATGCAATGTGCTTACCTGACTACAACCAACTGGTGACGCAAACTGGTCCCGATAACTTGACTCTTCGCTTAAATACCGCCGATACTTAATTCTACCAGGGCGCAGGCGGAAGCAGATCGAATAGCCCAATGACAAACTGAACGGTATTAAATTTATCATTAAACATTTGCGATAAACAAATGTAACAAGTGTGGGCCCCAAGGAGAATTCTGCTAGAAACATATATCACGCAACATTATCTATGTAGACAGTAGATAAAAATTCGCAATTGACATTCATCGAATAATGTGTGGTAAAAATACGGGTAAATAACTGGTAATGTGCATTGACAAGCGACAAATTTGGCGTAGATCATATTTGCTTGCCTCCTCTTTTCAGTTTATCCAGTTCGTTATGATTTCCATATAGATTAAAATGCATTACATACTTGTAGAATGTGACAGACAATGTATTGCTAATAAACATTCTTCTAAAACATAAAAGTGCAATATTGCAATTAACCCGCAGCGTTTAATGAATGAGTATTTCGTTTGCCCTCACTACATTCACGACTGTGATACTCTGCGCATTGCGAGACAAGTTTACACAATTATTTAAAAAATATGGCTGTGTATGCATAAGGTGACTTCATGTTACCGATTAGACCGTGCATTACAAAAATCACACGATACAATTATAAATTTGTAATTGAAAAACCGCTATACAACCTTTAACAAATATGGTAATATATAAAAATTACAACCTGCTATCGATTAGATTCGCTTAAAAAAATAACAGGTACAAAGTATAAATTGTTACACGATTGTACGAATATTTTACCGCGTACTCGCCCTTTGCAATTTTCGCGCTTTCGTTCAGGAGTCCTTTGCAGTATCATCCGTATCACAGTCTTCCCCATCATGCATCATTTGTCCCTGTAGAGCGCGACGTTTTTGCAAACGTGCGCACCGTGGACAACAATGATTGCGCTTCGCCCAACAAACACGATGATGCACTGCCGAGCATTGCTGACAGATAACCGAGCTTGCATCCCATGGATAAATTACTTCATCGTTGCTGCATATCTCGCATAGGTGTCCTCTGAGAAATGCACATTTTATTTCTTAGCAAAGATAAATATCCTCTGTGATGTCGACAAAAAGCGTAGACAGTAATTACAGTTAAAATTAAAATTATCCAAGATTAATAAATATATCGTATAAAAACTTTAACGTAAAGATTGTATAGAAGTTGGAAATATATACAGTTGTCCCAACTCTAATTGGAATTATTGAAAGTCTTGAGATACCCGCGCATTGCATCATTTAAAATGTATAAGAAATTCTACACATACTATTCTATACGTATTAAATTTCAACACGTTGCTAATGAATAAAACCTTGACATATGAATTCGGCATAAGAAGCGAGTTCTTTAAGAATATTGAGAGAGAACGAGCGAATCCTTTCTCCATTTATATATTTACCTTGCCTTGCAGAGCTCGCACTGCTGCGTAATGTGCGCGTGCATCGTATCGTACGCGGCACGAAGCTCGTCCAGGAGGATGCCGCTCTGAAGATCGATGAGATCTTTGACGGAATAGTTACCTGAATTCTCGATCATGTGTGTGCGCAATCCAATCTTCCACGGTAATCCTTGAGTGCAAGCTTCCACGCACAGAACCAAGTACCTCTTCATCATCTGCATTTCCCCTCGCATTCGCTGAAATTTAATAATTATGCATCTCGATTAATTAATTAAATGCGATTATTAAAGTTGCAACATTGAACAAAGAAGAAGCTAATTCACACTTGCAGTAAATAAATGTAATTGAGATCTCTTAAAATTTCATTTTCAAAAGATGTTTCATTTACAATGTGCAGTGATGGTTGCAACATTTTTTTAAATGAGTTTAGAAATGATCATTTAGATTCAGGGTTACGTTCCAAAAGATTTTCTCCAAGGAAGAAAAATGTTACTCGAGAAACAGATGAGAAACGTTCGAAATGGTTTCGAAATGACCATCGAGTAAAATATTCCTCGGAGAAGAAGATTTTGAAACGTAACCCTGAATCTAAATGCATCTAGCGATTCTTAAACATCTGTCTCAATCGAGACTCACTTTTACAAGCGATAAATCCGGGACCAGGGTAAAGAGTTTTGGATTTAATTCTTCCAGCGGCAATACGGAACGATCCTCCAGGAGCATCAGAAGCTGCGCTGCGGCGCGGGACACCAGACGCGGCTCCATGTCCCAATTTCTGATCACTCTCGCGGGAATGACCATGGCTGTGTTCCAATGGCATCTCTGACAGTAATAGAGACCGCTGTAGTCGCAGAGTCGAGGCTCTACCCACGCCGATTCTAGAAGCGTTACTATCTTGATTATCAAATTGTATATAATTATAAATATCGTGACTTAACAGAGATATATTTGTGCGAGATATCGTCAATCTAGTGGAGTGATCTTCATAATTCCATACTCAAAGTTGTTTGTGAAGACGCAAAGAATCTCCACAAGATATTCCAAAATATCCTAGTGCAGTTACACGTGAGAAAGTCAAAATAATAAGTAGAAATGAAGATGTACCGAGTTTCTATTAAGATAACAATGTGTTACTTCATTGTTATTAATATATTACATGCTAAATACCTGTACTCTTAAAGGAACTGCCGAAGCAAGATAGAGATAATCCTTTCGAGAAAGCTTGTGGGAGGACAACATTGCCATTATCTCGTGGAATATTTTAGTAGGCGGTTATCGAAGAACGGAATAATGAACCGGCCGTAAAGCGAGCGTGACGAGCGAGTCGGACTTAATCTATTCTATTCATAATTAATAAACATCTTTTAATCTAATCTGTCTCAACACTTACTGAATGTTATTCGCACTTTACACTCCGCGCAGCGGTAGCCCTGCTTCGAGAGGCCTCTCTCCGGGCAGATGTCCTTAGTGTGCGTGTATCCGCCGGCTTCGCTGGCGACCACGTGCACGCACACGCGGCACACATTGTTCAGACACTTCCAGTGGCAACTGAACTTGCAATCTGAAGAAACGAGGGATAGCATGTAGCGGCTAATCGCGCTGATCCGAGGGATCGTTTAACGTTTACCGTTGCACATGTACCACGACTGCAGCATCATCCAGATCGCGCCGCTGCAGTGGTCGCAATAAACCGGGCTGGACGTGGTGTAGCAGTACTTCTGCGGCACAAAGTGGTGGCCGAGGATAACGCGCGTCTCGAAGAGATTCTCGTCCGAGGTCTCGCGCAGCTCCTGCACGCGCAAACGCAACTCGATCAGCCGCCGGACGAGCCACTTGCGCTCGTCCGAGCACTCGGCGCTCTCCAACACCATCACCTTGCACTTGCGCACCATCTCTTGAAGATCCTCCTGAGAGGCGTCCTAGATAAAGCAGTGAGATATCTGGTAGGAGAGGAAGGTAACGAAAGTAATGTTATACCTTGGACAATGAGAGCATGGTCTCCACCGATCTCAAGCTGAACGGTATAGTCGCCTTGCTGTCGGAGCTGTCATCTGCCTCTCCCGTCATGTAGTCCGAGGAGGACGACGGCGTCGACGTGCCCGTGCCGGAACTGTTTGCTCGTATCCTCGACTCGTAATGCGAGTCGTTCTCCCCGACGACGGGAGGATTGCTCTTTATATCTACCATCTTCTGCACAAAACATACAACACATATATATCAGGAGGGAGCAGATAATGATGTGTGTCACATTTCCTTGAAACGAAAATAAAGCTTCCCCCCCGCGAGCTATCGCGAATGTTTTATTTCGTCGCGATAAGCGCGCCGCGATAAATTTAACTCGCCCTCTACCCCTTGAACCAAAGTTTCGAGTTTCCAGTCGAAGCCCCCCTGCGAGAAGGGAGGCTGCTTTCGCAAGAAATTTTATTCAATGAATTTCCACATTTGGCCAATCATGTGCTATGGCACAAGGTCATTTTGAGAGGAAGACACGTGCCGTGTGTATACAATTTCAGGTATCGCCTCAAAGGGGCCCGGGCGCTCTTCGGGAACCAAGTCGGAGTTGAAAGCGCGGAGAAAATGTCTCTGCTCGGCTTTGCGAGGAAAAAAACGACGCGAAGCAAGGGAAGCTGAAGAGGCGCTACGTACCACCTTTGCCCGCGCTCTTGGGACGAAACCGCATAAGCCAACCTGTACGACACTCGTATTAATTGGCGTTGTTCATTACGCGCAAAATTGAGCGATAAATAGAGCGACGGACGAGCAAGGGCCCTCTTCTCATTTCAACGGGCGGTCTCTAGGTTATGCGCGTCTCACCGCAGCCTCGCGGGATGCGTTCTGAAATCAGCTGATGCGTGCGCGGAGTTTGACAGATCGCGCGCGCGTATACATTTTGTCCAGAACAGTCGTTCGCGCGGCACTGTTCCTGCAACAATAAAAGCGACTCGGTCAATCTGGCTAGAATCGGTGGGGCCTTTTACTCGTTAGCTCGCAGAATTCTGACGAATCGAGTTTTATTTTTCAACAAATTCGTCCTCTCTCTTTTTCTACAAAATCAGTTTCCTTACAAAAACGCACAGCGAGAGATCTTACATAGGATTTTTCTTTACAGCGTGACGAGCGTTGCTGTCTCGCCACGCGGATGGTACAGATACCTAGCTTGTTTCTTTTTAGAATCTGCCAATGTATCGCCGCTGATATGAATTTCATTCCTCTTGCAAAAATGTCGGCGAGAAGAGGCCTAATCTCCAAAAGCCTAGTAGCACAATATATCGGCGCGATATTGGCAAGTAATGTAAATCTAGTATTCCCAATATTGTATCAATATTAGACCAATATTCTCATTACATTGGTAAATATTGACCAATACACTGCCAATATAAATATATAATACAATTATTATCGTGCAATTACATTGATTCCATGGCCAATATTGGCTTTACGTTGGACAATATCGGCCAATGCATTTCTACTATACCACCATTGGACCAATGCACTGTGCTACTAAGGAAGTACAATTCGAAATACGGGGGAGAGAAGAAACGTTTTCTTTTTGTTTTTCTTTTAAATACACGCCTAGTATGATTCGGTTTCAGTCTTGGACGTAGGAAGCGCGTTTCGGAAAGATTCACTCTTTAGAGAATTGCTACGGCCGCGCTAGAATCTACGAAGAATGTTCGGTATAGACGAGGGACAGTAGCTCACATAATTACGGATCGTCGATTTGCCTCCGATAAAAAAATACGCAGCCTACGCAACGATCTATCCGCGTATCGTGATAGCTAGAAACGGTGCTGAGAACCTCGCGAGTCGACTGGAACGATTTGCATCGTTTTCATCTACCAACGTGTTCCTCGCGTGGACGTTAAATGAAGACCCTCGACCCGGCACGCCGCGCCAAATGAAATATGACCATCATCTATCATCAATTTATTAACAGGCGGGAGCGGAAGTTCGGAAGATACACGCTAAAACGCATACAAGATCTAAACAATCCTTTCTGCGCATATTACTAGTATTTTCTGGCACAATCAGATTCTCGTAGCATCATCGATCGAGTCACACACACACTCTCTCTCTCTCTCTCTCTCTCTCCTCTCGTGAAACCTGACACTTGATACAGATGTAAATACGTGCCGTTACTATTTATATTATATTCGTACAAAACACATATATTTCACAGGTAATGCTCGATCGAGATCGCTCGGAATGCTCCATTCATCCGAAAAATCATCACACGCTTGGTAAAATGTTGCGTAGCTTTTAGAGAGACGCGTTCCGTCAGGAAACACAAGGGCGAGCCCGAGCGATTTCGGCGCAAGCCGACGGAAACGAAAGCAGAAGAAAAGGACAATGATAGTTATTAAATGTAATATGAGCTTCAACTTAATACTTATGCTTTGGTTTAAGTAAAGGGAAGATTCAGCGGCGGAGTCTACGTGGCGTCGTTATTCGCGAACAAAGCGTCAGAGAGAGAAGTGGAGCCAGTTGCGCGATATTATTCGGAAAAATCTAGAACGCGTATCTATATATTATTATTTATACGTAGGACAAGATCGTTATCTCGTGAATTATAGCGGCATTCTTGCGTATATGTACATACATTACTAATGCTCGATACACGCTGGTACTCGAGTTTCATCCGACCATAAATACGTTTCCTGGCAACCTGACAGCGTCGAAAGCTGGGAAGAAGAATATTTGCGGGTTTTTCCTCGCGCAGACGAGCAGAGAGACCTTCGAGTGTGAGGATATATGCGACATATTCTCGTTTCCCTAAAAATGACTCAGAAGCATGTTGGAGTATTTCTACTCCACTTTTCAGATACAGCGCTACCGGCGTTATCATCGTCAACTCGAATATATTTTTCTAAGAGAAAACTTGAGAATCTTTCGCTAGCATTTATTAACGCTGACTGTTACGCTAAGAATACGAGTCTTTAAATTGCGTCAACGCAGAGCTTAACTCATCGAGACGAAACTTGGAGTCCCATCGGTATATCGGCTATGGAAATAATATAATAATAGAAAAGAGATTAAAGACATTGGTATTAAATCGAGTCTGTACAGCACTACGAAACCGACGTGATTAAACGCGGGACGCAACCTTGATCGTCTATACAACAAATAATTTCAATTATAAATTACGCACGATAAAAGTCACTGGATAGAGATTATTATCCAATGCCCAAAACATCACTCATCAAACATTAAAAATAGATAACAAGGGTCGTCGAATAGAGCGGGAAAGGGGGCATTATCGTGTACACATTAATCGATACATACAGAATCCTTGTATATAGCTACTTAAAGAGGGAAAAACGAAGAAGAAATCATTCCAGTCGGAGGGCACAAATACTTGATTCCGGAATAAATCTAACGGAACGATACGAAGGCGTGTAAAGCGTCTTCCGCCGATATGTGTGATTAATTAGGGGGAGAGAACACTGTTGGCGCTACGCTTACTCGTACATCGAAAAAGTATTAGAGACTCACATGTAGAAGATACCTCTCTTCTAAACTTAATGTTCGCACTTGCACTAAAGTTTCAAGCGATTCGTGTCGCACAACTGTGTCCTTTGTTCGACGAACGAGACCGACGAGAAAGACACGCTCGCGCGACTTTTCAATTCGGTGCGAGACGCAAGTACCTCCTCCCTTACGTCGATACGCCGAGAAGAATCAATGTGATGACGCGTCGAATCTCCAGTCTCTCGCGTGTCCGGCAATCTTTCATGTTCATCTGTGATTGTCCTGGCTGATCTGCTCGGCACGGACTTGATCCATCGATTTGCTTTGATTGCTCGCGTCCGATAGGGAATCGCTGTCACTACTCGGACCTACGCGAACCGGCGACGGACTGTCCACCGGTCGGAAGGAGAAACTAGGCGAGTCCGCGCTCGATAACGACTCGGGGGTGCCCACAGAGCTGATAGTTCCTGGAAGCGGGCTGGACAGTGCATCCAATCTGCGGAGAAGAGTCACCGAGTTAAAGATATTATACTGTAAAACGATACAATTATGAGGATTGTTAGAAAGAGTATACACAACCTGGATACAACCGACGTCAATAAACCAGAGGTGCGTTTCGCTGGCGGTTGCAAGTTGTGATCCATTCCAGCCTCGTCTAGTTCGAATTTTCTTTTGACTGGCCCCAAACAACTTGGCCTTATCGCGATAGGACTCAAACTGCGCCTGTATTCCATGAGATACATTAGCAAAGAATAATAAGCAGGGAAAAACAAATTACAATAGCTAATCTGTTTTTCTTTACTTGGACCTTTACACAATTTTTCAGCGATACTTTAGGAGATAAGTTTTACCTAGTGGCAAACGCCTTTCTCGTAGGACTAGGAGACAGATTATTCTTCCAGATGTGAATACCAGGAGAGTAACACTGTCTTTGATTAAATCCGGATCTCGTAGGGGAAGGTGAAGAACACAGCGGTGAGCCGGTGATAGACAGATTCAAACTTAGGGGATCCAACGGCCTCTTCGGCCGGTCCATTTTGTTAAGCTGCTGCGTGGGCGACTCCGAGTCCTTAAACGACAATCCTTCCGCCTCCAAGGTGAGGTCCTCCCATGATTGCGATATCTGCATGGCACTATGAATCTCCTTCTCGTGTGCCGCTTCCCGGCCGGCGACGTCCACGCATTCCTCCTGTCTTAACTGACTTACGCGTGGCGTCAATCTAGGAACATTACCAGGGCTCTAAAAGTCAAAGAGATGGGATGAAACGGTAGCATCGTTGAATCATTCGGTAACAGAGAACATTGCGAAATAAAATATTACTCATCACATTTTTTTTCTAATCAATTATTAGATTTCACTTTTAATTATTAAGACACCAAAAAAAATATATATATGAGAAACAGCTCCCTTTTGGACTTTGCTACTAGAGTAATAAAGGAAGCTTACATAATAATTAATTAATGAAGTCATAAATAATGAAAAGTAAGAGAGTGAAGGTAATGTAATCTTACACTGGTACTAAAGCGTCGTAGGCGAGTTGAATTAGCAAATATATTAAAGGTAGACACAGCATCCCTGCAAATGGCAAAATAAGAAATGTTTAGAGACAGTTCAGTTTGCATAACTGCAAATTATTAGAAATCATTTTAATAAACTTATTATCAAAGATTCAAGAAATCTTTCAACTTTGAAAGCAATCTCACAAGTCAAATCTTGATTAATTTACCACAAATATTACACAAAGTGTGTATCCGCGATGTAATTCAGAAAACTCATTAAACTTATTTCTAAAGTTGAACTTATCAGTTAGCTAACAGAATTGTATCTTTCAACGCGACCCTAATTTAAGACAAATTATTCTCAACGATTCCTCATTTCAATAGTGTAAATTCTCTTGTACTTTTCAAAGTTCTCAAAGTAACATTAGGAACATTGATTATGTATTCTTGCTTTCTTACAGAATAGCTTCTAATTTCTATAAAATTCAATTGAAGCTTCCAGTGAAATATTCCATTTGAAATATTTATTTATGGATCATGCTTATATATGTATATTAATAACAATCAATGAGTAAAAGGGGCTAAGAGCCTTGACTAGGTGTTTGTGTCAAAAAGGTAAAAATTTAGTTAATTAAAACATAAGAATTACAGACGTTTCGGTCTTTCTTTAGACCATCCTCAGTGTATAAATAGAAAAGAAAAGAATTTAAATGTAAAAGTCAATGGTTAAAATTCGCTCGCAACATTCAGATTTATTACGACTGCCAATCGAGAGGTCATCGTTTTGTCGAGATATAAGTTTTGGAGTTATCAAGCTGGTAAATGTCGACTAATCAATGACCTCTCACCATTGACTTTTACATTTAAATTATTTTCTTTTACGCTTTTTCTTTTCTATTTATATACACTAAGGATGGTCTAAAGAAAGACCGAAACGTCTGCAATTCTTATGTTTTAATAAACTAAATTTTTACCTTTCTGACACTAACACCTAGTCAAGGCTCTTAGCCCCTTTTACTCATTGATTTTTATTCTTCAGAGCCGTATTCCCTTATTATACAGGGTGTACCTAAACTGGCGATAAATATTTTAATGACAAGTACTTTGTAACATTTTGAGACGAAAATTCTAATACGAAAAAGTCGAGGCTATAATAGTTTTCAAATGGGGAACAGTTTAAACATCTCGAATAGCAAAGCTAGAATTTCGCGCGCTCGGGGATGGCAAAATGGCCAGTGATAAAGGTGCTTTCTTGAACCACACGTCTTTGACATTAATGAAATTAGTGTAAAAATGTATGCAAGACTTTTATTAAGAAACTATTTCTGTTTATTTGCAATGAATTTTAAAAATAGTTTAAAATGTTTTTTTTCCAATAGTTCAAATCGATATTGATTTGTCAACTGTCATCAGCATATCTATTTGATTAAATTGGTAAATCTCCGGTATAGTATGCTATGTTATCGACAAAGTCAATCTCAAGGTGGAACAAAAATGATTTTATCGACAAATTTCATCGCGCAGATTTACCAATTTCATCCCTGAGCGCGCGAAATTCTAGCTTTGCTATTCGAGATGTTTAAACTGTTCCCATTTGGAAACTATAAATGTTACAAAGTACTTGTCATTAAAATATTTACCGCCAGTTTAGGTACACCCTGTATATTAATAAGCGTGGCAGTTGACGATACTAGACTTGGAGCGAATTTGGTTGCTTGCACTAGTGTGCGCCGAGTGCACTAGACACTTTTCTTCAGTGTAGTAAATTCTTATATTTAACTTTGTCTGAAATATACGTTGAAAGAGTATTTAGCGAATCCCCAAGTATAGGAATCGACTGTAAAGAAGCTTTAGCTCAGTGCGCACTAGCGCAAGCAACCGAATACGCTATTAAACATGTAAAAAAGGCTTGATCTCTCAGTGCATTCAACGCTCCATGCAACGCTGCTACTTGTGCAAGATCGCCAGCAGTCGGAGCGGGCAGTGGTCGAATTATCCGCTTCCAGGAACCGCAAGCGACTAGCTCGGTGATAAAAATCATCCGAGACCGCAACTACGGCAGACCTCGCTACAGACAATCGACTTAAACATCCTTGCGCTGGAGCAATTGGAGCGACGAGCAGGGAGGAAACGTACCTCGACGACGATGTCGACGGCGTGGTGATGGACATGGTCGCGCTGATCTCGTTAATCATCGGCGCGCTGCTGGATCGCTTCAGGCTAACGAGAGGGCAGTCAACGTCCATGATTGCGTGATCGTGCGGCGTCCACGCGAAGATGGCACATAGGAGACGCCGTCCCCGTCGTCGTCGTCGGCCCTCGACGTTCCCGGAACGTTGGTCGCGCGGGGCTCGCGATCCCGGGCACGTACGTCGTCTCCGTCGGCTGCCGCGGCGGACGCGAGCATCGGGGTGTCCCGCCTCACCCGCGCGCGCGGCTGGCTTCTGGGAGGCCGACGAGCCCTTCTCGAGGCGGTTAACGCGTCGTCCACCCCCTGGAGACGAGCGAGCGCTCGGGACGACAGGAACCAGGCCGCGAACGAGGGCTGAAGCGAGTCTACGAGTCTTGCGGATGATGATGCTGCTGCTGCTGCTGCTGCTGCCAATGCTCTGCCGTCGATATCATAGGCTGGACGCTGTTGTGTTTGTGCAAGGCGCGTGCGACGATGCGACGTTATCGACCACTCTTGCCTTTCGTTCCCGTGCGCAGAGCGCGACGAGGCTTGCGGAGCACACACACGCGAGCAACAGTCGTTTCGCGGATCCTTTTCCACCGGTTTCTTTTCAGTTCTAACAATTGGAAAGAGGTAGAGTAACACGGTAGGTAAATCGAGGATCGAAGCCGATCTATACTGGTGGAAAACTGGACATTGCCAAGCTGTTGGGCGCGTTTCCAACGGCGCGAATCTGCTCACGTTCCAAAATCTCCGGGGAAAAAACTTTTTACATCCCTTGGAGAAAACGCTTCGGAACGCAAGCCTAGTTTAGGGACTCGTAGACGCGCGGACGAATCTTTTGCGGTTTTCCCGCTCACGTTTTACAAGCACATTACCGTCAGACTGCTGGGGAATACCTTGCGTTTACATCCCCGCCGCGACGCGGTTCGCAAAATTGCCGCGATTGCACTCGCAAAATGTCATCGCGAATGCCGCGATCCGCGAGAGATATCGTTGCGGCAAGTTCGCAGCGCGCGTTCCGAAAGGCTCTGCGCAGTTCTCGATCGCGCGCGAGGTTCCGGCGACGACGCCAAGGTTCGAAAGACGTCGCGCGCGACGTCCAAGAGGCGTCACCGGGGCATTCGCCTCAGGACTGGTCAAGACTCGGGACCCTCGGAGACCCGTCGAATGCTCGTACGTATCCTCTCGACGAATCGCCGCCTCTGTTAGCCGCGGCGCGACGCGTCGGGTCCGCCGGAAAGGTCCGGGCCGCCTGCTCGCCCGGTTGCTCCGCCGACCGCCGTCTGTGTTCACGGTTCCCGACGTGGCTTCTGCCACGCCAATCGTCCACACGGCGGACGCGACATAACCTCCTCGCGCCTCGCCCCCGACGACTACACCCGGTGAAACGATGCCGCGCCCGGTCGCCGTCGAGTCGAGCCTCGGTCGATCGAGCGTTGCGGCGGTCGCGCCTTCCGCTGCTTCGCCCCCGTCGCGCTAGTCGCGCGTTCTGACCTTGGCTTCCGCGAGCCTCGTTCCCTCGAGGCGGGCAGACGCGACGTGTCACGATGACGACGGTAAAATCCCCGGGTTCCTGCTCGAGACCGACAACCGGCTCACTTTGCTTCTCTTCGACCGTTGATTGCAGATTGTTAGTCGCTGTTTTCACAATGGACGCGAGCGTTGGGGACAGCGACGACCTGGGGACGACGTCCTTCCGCCTGGGGGAGATGTTTGACAGCTACGAGGAGCTGGAGCAGAAACTGGACAGAGTCTCCAAGCACACCCTGGTGCATTACTGGAGACGAGACAGCAGAACCGTAAGCGGGGCTCATATGAAAACCGCGCGGCCAATTAGCGAGCGATTGAAGTATTACTCCGTCAAATATGCGTGTATCTACGGTGGCCAGAAGTTTCTCCCGCGTGGTGCTGGTAGAAGGCAATCTCAGTTAGTCTCCAATCGTTTCGTTGGACGACGAATATTAACGATACATTGGCTGCATTCGGCAGAAAAAAATGTTGTAAAACTCTTGAATCTGATTGGCATAATCTAACAATGAATTCGCCAGCTTGCGCTGATGCGCACCAAGGAGTCGTCTCGAGTGCGGGTCCAAAAACTATTTAGCCAAGAAACTAGCTAACAAGTATTTAAGACTTTTTTTAATATAAAAATTGACCGTAAACAAGTATTAGTGTTGGTGCGAGCTGCTGAATTCGCTGTAAGAGCGCACTCCAATCAGATTCGCGAATTTTACAACAGTCGCAAAGCAGCTTTTTCTGCCGAGCGCGGCCATTAATATTGATGTTTGCCCAGCTTCGACGTGACTCATTTCTATACTGTTGCATGTATTTTGCAGGTCCATACGAACCAACTGTCCTGCTCACATTATGGTCAGGGCGTCTAAAGATGGCACAAAGCTGGAAGTAACCAGCGTGAATAATGAGCACAACCACGAGATCTCAGAGGTAGATTCTTAATATCCTTTGTACCAACTGTCCGGATAGACTCAGGAGAAAGATTACTCTACACCAAGTAGTAGAGTGGATTTGAAAAAATGGTATTTTGTTTCGACAGGATCTGTTTAAGAGACTTCCCCAGGAGAGAAAGCTCTGCGGTGAAATTAAACAGGAGGTGCAAGATCTCCTGCAGTTGCACATCGATCGTAAGAGGTTGAAAGAATACGTGCGATTGCGCACCAACAAGATACTGCGGTCCAAGGATTTGTTTAACATAGCGGCGGCTAATAAACACAGGAAGGATATCACGCCGGAACGAGCGTATCAATTATTCGAGAAGATTCGCAATATCGAGAAGATGCAGGCCAGGGGTGGCAATAGGAAACTGTATTCCGAATCTGAGGACGAGATAGCGCAGACCATAAAAAGAATGAAGAAGGAGCAAGAATCTGCCTGGGGTCAAGACGTGAGACACATTTACATTCCTTTTCTTTCCCTATAATGGTATTTTCTAGTATTGTAGTCGATAATTTTCTCGGGATATTCTTAGGGATTGTCGAGCGAGCTGGAAGTCAACGAGGTAAACGACGGGGAAGATTCTTACAGCGGTCAACTGACGCAGGAGGAGGTGGTCGACGAGATCGATACGAACGAGGGCGAATTATTGAGAGCGAACAATGAAGGCGACATAATAGCGGCCGACGGAGAAATAGTCGGCGAGCTGGTAATGGAGAACGGCGATCCGTCGGTGATAGTCGAGTCCATCGTCAACGCGGACGGTTCTGTTTTCGTCGACGAGAGGGAATTCAATAGCTACTGCAACAATCACTTGTCGCACGCGGTGGACGACAGCCAGTCGCCGAAGCCACGTGGTAACTTGATTCTTACAACTTGTAATTTTGTCGCACAATAGGAGATCGTCAAAGGAGCCTTTGCTCACGTCAGTTCTAGATATAGAAACCATCACCTCCACCACTACTATCGACAACATCACGAAGGAGACGTCTCCTTCGCCGAATCACAAGTCGCAAGCCGACTCTCTGATGCTTGAACAATCGCCCAAGTCATCTAGCAGCTTCCAAGAAACAGATTCGAGAATTTGGATCATGAAGGAGGGCACGTGTATGGAAACGGAAGCGGAGAGCGGGCCCGAGAGCGAGACGAACGTGGTGACGACCAAGCCGGTCTCGACGATGAAGCCGGACGCGGAGACACCCGAGGCCGTACTGTCCGACGAGACGAGCCAGCAACTGCTTCAGGAGCAGCTGGCGGTGCTGCGCGCCGAGAAGGGAAAGCTGTACCACGAGACCGAGATGCTGAAACTGAAAAAGGACAAGCTCAAGCTGCAGATCAATTGCTACTCCAACGAAATCAAGAAGCAGGAGATGGAGCGGGAGAAGCTGAGACTCGAGATCAAGCTGCTTCAATCCAAAGTCATGGAAGACACCAACGATGTCTCCCACTACATCTTCGTGCCCTAAGTTTCCCCGACTCTGTTGTAAAGTGATTGTAAATAATGTCGTGTATTGCTTAACAAAATCCACTTTATGTAAATATCAAGTCAGTTGTGTATATAAGTAAGACGATCATTGAAATGGAACTGTGTCACAAACTTGAGTTGAAAACACGAAAGAGGAATCTTGATAATTTTGACGAGAAAGATACGACATGTGACGGACAGTATGTATCATTTTATAGAAATACCAATTTTATTATTGATTTTGTTACGATATTTATTTTTTCTTTCACAATTAACTTTTACTATGCACCAACTAACTTTCATATAGCTTGTCAAACGTTTTCTCATGAGATTTCAACAATTTTATGTGCTCGTCTCGTAAAGTGATTGCAAAATTACAAGATAAGCAAAGCTGCATGTACACTGGGAATCACCGATGCCTTTCCTGTTTTATCTGTGTCTAAATTCATATGGAAAGGCATCGGTGATCCCTAGTGTACACGCTTGTAAGTTCGCGCTGCGAGTTTGTCATTTCGATTGTTTCGCAAATAAATCGTACGCTCTCGAGCCTGAATTCCAAATTCAAATATGCCGCCGTCTCGTCCCACCTATCGCAGATACCGCGGCCGAGACAGATGGCAGCAGGCGCTCGAACCCCTCCATGGTCTCAGTCTCCTCATTTTCCTGGACCGCGCCGATCGGCTCGCACGAACGCATCGTAGTGCCGTGACACGACATCCCCGAACGTTCGACGTCATGCTGAGACCTCTGCTGCTCCTGTGCTGGGCCGCGACGATCGTGTCAGGTAACGGATCGGTCAACGTGGCCCGCGGGCGCTGCGCGCCGCGCGACGCCGACAGCTGGGGCCGCGCCAGGTGTCGGCGCGCGGCGACGTCCCCGTCGCCGTTGACCCCGCGGTCTCGCCACGGCGCGAGGGACGGGGGAACGGAGAGGAAGATCTCGCGACCCTGGAGTCACGGTCGCGGCCGCGCTGCCGGAGATTAATTGCGCACTTGGCGGGTCGCCGGAAGCGCCATGATTAGGCGGCCGCCGGGATCTTCCTTGAAACGGTGACTCGAGTGCAGCCGCACTCGCCCAGTCTCGTCGTCGCGTCACCGCCGTCCGACGCGGGCGATTACGCGCCTCGGAAACCAAACGGTCACTCGGTACGCGAGCGAGATGACATTGCGCCGCGTCTCGAGTGGGAGGATGCCAGTTCGCGGTGTTCCAGTACGCGCGATAATGACTATCGTGCCTTGAGGGGGAGGGGGGGGAGGAGGGAAACAGAATCCGTGTCGCAGATCCGATCGGTCGCGACGACGCCTCGTACATCTCCATCTCTCTAATCGCCACGTGAATTCCGAGTAATAATAATTACGACTCGGCCAACTTGTACAATGGTTGCGCGCAATGACGCCAAGGTTTATCTCTGTTTTCCTTTCGTTGAACTTTGCTCTCCTTTGTTTAGCAGTTCTCTCTTTTTTTTCCCTCCCCCCTACACGATCCGCCCGAAACGATTGGCAGCGGGAACAATTCAAATGTGTAATCAATACGCGGACGAACGTTTATTAACGTATACTCGAGATATCTGGCCGCCGGTGTATCTTTCAACTCGCCAAAGACGCCTTTAAAAACGTATGGATATGATATTGATTTATTTTTAGATAGAGACCACTCAGCGTCATTGACACGAGAGCTTGAGAGCCTTCGGGGAGGTGACTCACTCTGAACGGTACAGAAATATAATCACGCATGTATAATTTTAACAGCTGGCGACCTGAAGAATGGCATTGTCAATGACACAAGTGTTCCTACCGATCCCATCGGCCACAGTGCAGCTGCGAATCCTCAGTCGACGCCCGTATCGAACGTAGAAACAAGCCCGAGGCCGGTAGCTTCCAACAAAGATGAGCGTACGACAAATGAATCTACGGAAGTGCCAGCCGCGGTTACTCCGTCACCAACCAAGCCACCTACTACGGCCAAGCCAACCACAACCAAGCCGATTACAACGCCTGCGCCGCACACGACCACAGCGCCGGCACCACCGACACCGCTTCCTCCACCGAGCCTGGGCAAGTGGAATGTAACGCAGAACAACACGTTGTGCATACTCGTTCAAATGGCTGTGCAATTCAATGTTTCTTATACCACCGCTAATAACATGGTGAGTGCATAGAAACTAAGTTTACCACATTACAGTTAATGTGTCAAGATACTGCGGTCAACTTGTCGATTCTACTTTACTTGCAGACGCGATACAGGGTGATGGACCTGCCCGCCAATAGCACTACAACTACGGGGGAATGTGGAAAAACCGAGCAGAACCTGACGTTGTCGTGGCCATCGCCGAACGAAAGCATTCAGAATAATTTCACCATTCATTTCATAAAGAATGAGACGAAAAAGGATTACACTCTTCATCACTTTGAGATCTCTCTCGCGGCCGCAGAATTCCCCAACGCTAAAATAAGTATGCGTTTATCCGTCACGAATTACGTTGCACTTTGACTTAGGCCTATAAGACAGGCTTTTGTTCCCCCTACAGATAGGACGCTGACTGTGGAACATGTGACGCCGCAATTTACAACTGGATTAACCAATTCGTACAGATGTATCAAGGAACAGCAGCTAGATTTGTCCGTCCAGAGGACCAACGTTACCGTGGGGCTTCTGAAAGTGACCAAATTACAATTCCAAGCGTTCCGAGGTGATAACTCAACTATCTTCGGCCTAGGTGAGTGTCCAGTTGTTTTTTTATCTTATCGCAGTGCGATATACACTTTTAAATTATTATTGTGTCTACTACAACTCATGTGTCCCTTTTATCTTTGTTTCCCTTAGCCAAGGACTGTTCGTTCGATACGCCCGACATTGTTCCCATAACTGTGGGCTGTGCGCTGGCGGGCTTGGTTGTAATCGTATTGATCGCATACCTCGTTGGCCGCAGACGAAGTCAGGCCCGCGGTTATCTTAGCATGTAAGCCGAGTCCCGTGAGGTTCCCTTCTTTTTCCATCTTTTTTTTTAACGTTAAACTGATTTTTTTTTTTATGTGATTCTCCGTCTCAACGTGGAGTCAATTGTCTTATAAAGAATCTACGTAGTTGTATTGTGTTCTATAGCCACGAGGGCTGTGACACATTAAGAGGAAAAACAAAATATAGCTTACACGTTTGTAAAGTTATCGAGCCCGCGTGCGGCAATGTTAGGAAAAAAAAATACGTATCGCAAGACGGTTCAAAATGATACAGGGTGGATGATAATTTCGAAGCAACGTGCTCCGTTCCACAAGGGCAAATACTCTATGATGAACATTAAATTGATATGAAATCGCAAGATCTGCACCGTATCTGCGCTGCCGCACTCTTAACCGGCAGCGAGGATCGGTTGATTTTTCATAAACAGTTGTAATATGAAATGAGAAGAAGAAAAATTCTAGTGAGCGTAGCGTTGAAATCCGCGTTTATCTGGATTTGCAGCTTCTTGTAACACGGGATACGTTATAGCGTCAAGTATTCGTTGTCTATTCTCGTCCGATTATTTTTTTTTTTTTAAGGAATAATTTCCTGGCTTTAATCACCGCGATACGATATTCCTTTATACATTATACTTAATACATACGTCGATATGTGTTTCCGTTACATTCGTACTCGAATTCTTTTTATTAAACTGTACTGTGAAGTAATAGCAGTTGTTTATATAGCCCTAGGTATGCTTGCGTGAGTGTATCAGAATAGTACGAAGGAGCACGCGCTTCAACCGTTCAAGTTAAAGTTTTGCTTCACTTTGGATAAGTATAAAACTAAGTGCTGAATTAGACATTGCATATAGTGCAATCTTTTAGGTGTAAAGAGAAATTTACTAATTATTTACGTCAAATGGAATAAAAGAAACCTGGAACAGCTCAACTAATATAATAATGCGCAAAATTCTGGAACGCTTTGTTCCCTTGATAAACGTTTGGATATGTCTGATTTGAATGTAAACGATAGCCTTGGGGAAAGATATGTACTGTTCGTAGAAGCACTGATAGTTTTTAAATGCAGGAAATATACATTTTCGCGCTTTACGCCGCCGTTGCTTTGCTCGAGGGTGTTACGACGGTTTTATCTAATATATATAAGATAACGTGCGGAGGAGATAATGAAATCTGGCATTTGAAAAAGGCAAAACGGGATTTCGGACGGTTTTATCTAATACAAGGTAACGTGCGAGGATAATGAAATCTGGCGTTCGTATCTGAAAGGGGGAAAATGAGATTTCAGAATTGAGCAAAGGTTTCGCGCGCGCACCGTGCTGCTTCACAAGTACTATATTATGACAAGACTGAACGACGCGTAGTGAGATGAAAGTGGAGGGCAAAAAGTAAAGTAAAAAAGAAAACAAATTAAAGTAATTGAATAAAGCGCTGTACATAAAACAAAGTAGTGGTACTACTTTTGGATTACGAGCATGTATTGCAACTAGGCGAGATCTACATTATCAACAATAAAATGGAATATTTCAACGATATCTCCGGAATTTCGGACCACTACGTTATCCACGTTTCACAATCTTTCCTTCGCTTTCCTCTTTTTACCGAGATATGAATCTAATGAATTGCAAAGATCATCGTAACACGAAAGTGACTTGGTTTAAAGAGCGCGTAGCTCTCGTCGCCATGTCCACCCCGGACAATGAGAAGGTGAATTTACGAGACCCGTTATCACACACACGGCCACTCGTAAACACGAGCACGTGTTATCGAGTTATCGTGTTGCTACCAGAGAGAAACCTGAGAGCAGAGATAATGCACCCCCTGAGAAAGTATATGTCAACTACGTTTACATGCTTGGTAATTTAAATTCAATTTTGCGCACAAAATATTTTTCAGAATGCATTATTTCATATACAGGGTGAGGAAAAAGTACCGGACCGGTGAAATATCTCGACAAATATGGGAGATACGGAAAAATGTTTCAGACAAAAGTTGTACTCTCTTTTTCGCGCATGCACCAAGTAAAAAGATTTTTTTGAATTTTTTTTAAGAAAATTTACGGGCGACTAGCGATAGAGACCTATTTGTCCGTAGTAGGATCTTCAGTGAGTCTGAAATCGACGCGCATGCGCTAGAAACGCGACCATTCTGGGCATCACTGGAGTAAACATGGCTCTCGCACACTGAGGGTCTGGGGATGCTCCGCGGATGCAGCGACTCCAGATGGGCCGACATGGCGCCAGTGGCACGAGCGTGACAACTGACAAGTGCGGGCCTAAAATGTAAACAATACGTCATGTAAATCGTATATATCGGCGAGCGCATCGACGGATCGCGGAGATGTACACGTTGCTGCACGGTCTGTACAAGTACCTGGTGCAGAAGGACGAGTACTTTATATTGATCTTGGGGCTCGACAATGCGGGGAAAACGGTAGGTTCGCCGCCACGAGTCCCGAGGTTATGACGCGAGCACCAACAATTACCGATTGCTTGTAGACCTACCTGGAAGCGGCCAAGACCAAGTTCACCAAGAATTACAAGGGTATGAATCCGAGCAAGATCACGACTACCGTAGGCCTCAACATCGGCAAGATCGACATCGCCGGGGTATCCTTCAACTTCTGGGATCTCGGCGGTCAGGAGGAGCTCCAGTCTTTGTGGGACAAAGTGATTAGCACATGATACAAGAAAATTAGCGTATTGTGTATTTTCCCCGCTTAGATCACTCGTTCGTGAAATTACGCGACACATATTTCTCGTCGCACCAATCAATGGCGTTCCATACAGCACGCATGTCTAAAAGACATCTCTAAGTTGTCTTTTAGACATACGTGTTGTTGCGAGTACAAGACGATTAGACAGCGTCGTTTTATACTTGCAGTACTATGCGGAATCTCACGCTGTGATTTACATCGTCGACTCGTCCGACCGTGATAGAATACCAGATTCCAAAGAAACTTTTGGTAAGCTGCGCTCTCTAATGATATTTTGCGTCGTAAAATCAAGCAGGTTGCAATTGGGAATAAAATAGCAGCATGGGAAATATGTTTAGTATTTCAACGTGTTGCTTAATAAAATTGTCAGGTTTAAAATGTCTTGACTCTTAAAAAAAATTGTTTCCTGCGCTTTAACGAGGCGCATGAAAATGATACAAATATGTGTATCAAAAGCTGTTCTTTTTTTCAGATAAGGTAATATCGTCCGAGCATCTAACTGGCGTACCATTATTGGTACTGGCAAATAAACAGGACGTACACGACTGTATGGGTGTAAGAGAAGTGAAACCGATATTCAATCAGAGTGCACACTTGATCGGCAGAAGGGATTGCATGGTGATGCCTGTGTCGGCCCTTAACGGGTAAACAAAATTAACGTCTTCACTAATTTACGCTGTGCATACAATTCTGAAAAGTACAAGTAATAGCTAGCGGTACCGAAGCGTGTTATGCGTTTATTATATAAAATAACGCTTTGCAATTTAATAAAAGGGATGGAGTAGACGAGGGCATACACTGGCTGGTGGATTGCGTCAAGAGAAACAGTGATATACGGCCGCCTCGCAATCAGGACGACAATTCCTTATCTTAGCTGTGACACATTCCTATTCTTTGGTAATTTATAATATATAAATATATACATATAATAAAATATTCCGAGATGCTTACGGCACTGTACATATTCGTGTCGCGTGTGTACAGTGTTTCTATGAATAAAGAATTTCTTTTTTACTCGAATATACGTTATTCATCTCCCTTCAGGTACGTGAAAGGAGTGCGTATTAAAGTCTTCATAATTTATAATAAATATATAAATCTCCCAAGTAGTACAGTGTATTGGCTAGACATTGGTCCAATGTTGATTATATTAGAAATGCATTGGCCAATATTTAACAATGTAATAAGAATATTGGTATAATATTGATATAATATGAAACCAATATTACTAAATAGACACATTGGCTAAATAAGAGAAGGCGTCCATTTTAGAATATTGGACCAACATTGGGAATACGATTTACATTATTTCCCGATATATTGCGCCAATATATTGTGCTACTAGGGATATATATATATATAATAAAATACTGCGAGATGCTAACGGCACTGTACAAATTCGTGTCGCGTGTGTACAGTGTTTCTATGAATAAAGAATTTCCTTTTTCGAATATACGTTATTCATCTCCCTTCAGGTACGCGAAAGGAGCGCGTATTAAAATCGCGCGGAAGGGCCTTGAGTGGTCGTAGCTCCTTTTTCAAAAGTATTTTAAAGGTATTAAAATTATTAAGTGATTGACGCTATCAGATCTCGCGCTAGGATCTGGACTTGTGTGAGTGCGAGTGCCTGATATCAAGGCGGTCGTCGAGATAAGAGATAATATGCCCACACCTCGTCGCGGTGCTCTATTATGTTAGTGATAAAGAGCGTACAAGACTGATCGCGTAACTGTACAATCGTTTGATATATAGGCTGTAATTTTTTTTCCGCTCAGTGCACATCTTTTCGGCCGTAAGCTCCTTGTTTGTTTAACATTATCGTGCACAATGTGGCCTTATTACGACGCCGAGGATTGGAGCGTCTTGCCGCCGGAACTCAACAGGAGGTGATTTGTTCGATTTATGATGTAGCAGATGGGGACGTTTATCACTCGGGTGCGATGCGTCATGTTGCATCTTCTTCCGAGGATTGATTGGCCGGGGTAGTCTGTTTTAAGAGACAATACGGAGGGAGAACGACATCAGGGGACAATTCTGTATCTTACAATATAGTGAAAATGCTAAAAGTGAACGTCTATTTTTGAGGGGACAGTTACAAAGAGACAAGGCTTTCCCGCTTACTTTTAGCATTTTCACTGTAGTGTAAGATACAGAATGGACCCCAGACTGGGCGAGCTTGCAGCTTGGAATCAATTCTTGCAACATAGTGAAAATGCTAAGTGTGAACAGCTTTGTATCACTTTTAGCATTTTCACTATAGTGTAAGATACAGAATTGACCTCAGACTTGGCGAGCTTGCGGCTTATATTCGTGTATCGCGTTGAAGGCGTTAAATTTACTTTCCTCGTGTGAGGCAGCCATGTTTGGTGCTGGAACTAGTAGAAACCTAGAAATATGTAAACTCCGGGGTAAAGAACAGCGCTGTAAATCTATCATTCTTTATCAAGTGGGTTAAATTAAGATAATACCTCGCGTCATCTCCCGATCGTGCGCGGCCCATACACGGGTCGTGTCTGCAAAAGAGAAATGCGTGAAATGGTATCATTATCAGTCGTGCAATGACACTTGTCACGGGAGACGCTGCTCCCGTCGAGCTGGATGGAGATCGCGAGAGGCGGGAGCGAACATCGATTTTCGCGAGCGAGGAGTGTCGGTGGTGAGGTCTTCTCGGCACCGCTCTCGTGGGAAGGTCAACCCCGTTTCCCCGGGTTCGTTCAAATTTCGCGGCCGACGCGGCAGTGCTGCCACGTTGACGGCGTTGATCCCCGGCCGAGGTGACTCTCGCGCGATTTTTCCCCCTCGTCGTCCTCGAGCCGAGGGCCGCGAGGTTAGAGTTCGCGGCTCGTTTCTGGGCGCGATCGCGCGTTTTTCCGGCTGAGGGTGCCCGAGGCGACGTCGGTGACGTCGTCGACGACAACGACGGCCATCTTTGAGTCCTCCCGTCAGTCCCGTCGTGGCGCACGGACACGCGAGATTCCGCGCGACGCGCGACCTGTCGACGAGGCAGACGAGAAAGAGAGGGAGAGAGTGAGAGAGAAAGAGTGAGTGCGAAAGGGCGAGAGGGCAAGAAAGGGAGAGCACGTCGTTAGGCGGCTCGGTATCGCGCGGGCGGATAGCGGAGTCAGGGTGCCAGCAGTGTGCGTGCGGGGTCCGTGTGGTTGACGACCGTGTGGGCAGGGACTTGGCGCGCGAGCGGAGCTATATTCATGGGGTTCGCGGCCGCGGACTAGCGAGCAGTCTCCGCCTTCCTGGTAAGCGTAGTCGCCGCCTGCCGCGGCTCGTCCGGACTCGGTCACGTCGAACGCGACGGCCGGTCGGCCGTTTCGGCCTCCGAGTCGCGCACCTCTCGCGGCGACTTGACGGCGGTCGCGCGGCTCTCCCGGAGCCCGCGTCCCGTTCCGCAGCCTTCGCCCCGCGTCGCCGTAATGTAAACACGCGGAGAGACGCGCGAGAGACCGTCTCCGCGGTCGGAGTCGACGAGCCCTCGACCGTCTCCGTCGCCGCCGCCTCCGCCGCCGCCGCCGCCGCCGCGTGTTTCGCGACATTCGACAATACGTCACGGCGGCGACGGAAGTCGTTGGCTCCCCCGACCAACTTCCGGACGGTGACGTTCGCGACGGACTCCTGGAGGGAGCGATGGACGCTTGACAGCCGCGGGTTAACCCTCGGCTCTCGCGCCGATCGACTCCGCGGCCGCCCCCCTTTTTTTTTTATGTAAGCCGGCCGTGTTTTGCAATACGTCGCGGCGGCCGAGATTCTAGCGCGCGGGCTTGTGACATCGCGCTCCCCGAGACGTTTCGAGACCGGGTACGTCCTTCGCGCTCCTGCCAAGCGGCGTCTAATGTGTCCGCATGTCCACAGAGCTCGCGAACCGATGCCCTATTTCAGATAGCACTTTGGAGCTGATCCCTTGCATTCCGCCTTGTCCAAGTTGCCCGCGAGTCTAATAGAGCACAATTGCGCGCTGATCGCGACACAGCTGTCACTTGGACTCGTCAACTCTCAATTAAGGTAATCCCGTATCGTGTCTCTCTCTTTTCAAGTTGCCTACAGATTGCGTTTCTTTCAAGGGTGGTCGTACACCTAAGTCGTCTCTAACAGGAAATCTGTTTCTAGGGATTTGTGAGTTCCATCTGCATTTCGTGTTTTAATTCTAATCGTGCACGCCTATGTTGATTTCAATCAAGCACACGATTGTCACGCAGCGACGAGAATGTGCCCTTCCACGAGAATTTAAATAAAGGACAGTTGTAAGGGCGGTATGCAAAGCGGACTGTTAAGAGCTATTAGAGTTTCTTGATGAAATAGGGCGGACGTCCCTACGGAAGGTTTATGACGTACCAACGTTTCAACTCTCGCATTGCGGCACGAGAGATCGACCCTATCTCTTGATGTACATTACTTGAACAATTAGAGACTTGACGTAATCTATTAATACGGTATGACACTAACACGCTCTATAATATTGTTATCGTCCTGTGCCCACTAGGAGGATAGCAGAGCTCGTGTTTTGTACTCGTCTGCGTCTTGGTTTTCGTTGTGCAGTTTGTGGCATAGGTTCGGAGCCCGAGTCGAGAAACGATGAATGCCTCAGAACATGGGTAACGCATAATCATACAGTCTCACTCGCATACGTGTACTTCCGATTCACTTTTCAACCTCGCACGGGCAGGAATGAGACGGCGAGAGGAGAGCCCTTTGTGCCGTCTTCGTCTCTGACTGTCGTAAACGTTTAAGAAGCCCTGCAACGAAATCTGTTTGTTCACTTTTTTCCCCCTATCGATCACGGAATATCTATCTTTCAATATGGATGTGATTTGACTGCGGAGACGCAGCTTCTGTTCTTTACATTTCATACTGCAAGATATCAAGTTGGTTGCAGTAAAGTAACGCGGTATAATACAAGTGTCATTGCACGATAAGTAGAAATAGGAGCGCTAACGTTCATAAAACAGCATGGGTGTGTACTTTTTCAGGTTTAACCCAGCCTTTAACATGGCCTCCATAAAGCAGGCTTTCAATGAGGCTGTGGAGAGAGGTAGGTGTATTGTTAATTTTATTGACTCACAGTAAGGCTGTAACGGCTAATCATTGGAGCGCCTGATTCCGCCTGTTTGCCATCTGAATCGCTTTGGAAAAGTGGCCAGATAAAAACTTTTCTGTTTATGTCCTAACGTACTTAAACAATGAAGCTGTTCCATATTTATGCAGTGCTTTTTACATTTTGTCACGACAGTCCATCACTCGCAGGCGGAATCGGCGGTTGCCAAAGATAACGCAAATTTATACTGATAACTTTTTCACGCTTTGAAAGTCTCGACAGTTAGGATGCCTGCGCCGACGCGGCTGAGGGATCTGATTAGACAAATTCGGGCCGCGCGAACGGCGGCGGAAGAGAGGACGGTCGTGAACAAGGAATGTGCGTACATTCGCTCGACGTTTAGGGAAGAGGACAGCGCGTGGAGATGTCGTAACATCGCCAAGTTACTGTACATTCACATGCTGGGGTTTGTGTCAAAAGTATCAGCTACCGGTGATTCGAGATTATCGAGCGAGTGGATGTTACCGAAAGGACACGTTTCAGGTACCCGGCGCATTTTGGTCAATTGGAATGTTTGAAGCTCATCGCGTCGCCCAGATTCACGGACAAGCGAATCGGTTACTTGGGGGCCATGCTGCTGCTGGACGAGCGACAGGACGTACATCTCCTGATCACGAATTGTCTGAAAAAGTAACGGTCCTTCTATTTCAAACGCTCTGCATTTTCTGTTCGCCGGGGAAGCTCTACGTCTCCCTCTTGTTCTTGTTCGTGCAGCGATCTGAACAGCACTACGCAGTTCGTCATTGGCCTGGCGCTGTGTACCCTCGGTGCGATCGCGTCCCCGGAAATGGCAAGGGATTTGGCGTCCGAGGTGGAAAGATTGATGAAGTCGCCGAACGCGTACATCCGGAAGAAAGCGGCGCTCTGCGCCTTTCGGATCATCAGGCGCGTGCCGGAGCTCATGGAGATGTTTCTGCCGGCCACCCGCAGTCTCATCACCGAGAAGAATCACGGGGTCCTCATCACCGGCGTCACCCTTATCACGGAGATGTGCGAGAACAGCGTCGACACGCTGAATCACTTCAAGAAGGTATATCCGAGATTTACTTGCTCGATACGCGGCATTAGGCTCTGGAACAGGTTTCTACGGGACGCGGTCCGGAGTCGTAAATCTACCCGTCCAAGTCGCAGTATCGCGTTACATAACCGACCTACCTAGTACGGCCGATATCAAGTTAGATAGTAGTAGAGAAATCCGCTGAAAAGATTGTCTAGTGCATAGTAGTGGACTTATTTATTAGGAATTGAAACTTGCGTTTGCTGGCAAATTTATGGCCCGTTAGTGCAACAGTGACGGAAAAGAATGCAGTCTTTCTACACGAGCACAGATACGAAATACTCCACCGGAGAAATATATTATTCATGTTACGCATTAACGCTACAGATTGTTCTTGGCGAGTCTATAAATATCAGGAGGAAAAGAGCGTCTCCTTGCACTTTATGTTAATACAATATCAAAATTTCAAACGCGTTCTTTCATTTACATTTGTAACGCTTACTCGAAATAGATTCTAAACAGCTTCGTTGATATTAACGCGCGCGAGTTTCTCTTCTATCTTTTTGTTAAATTAAAAGGAATATAATAAAGCGATCGTGCAGTGGTCTCACCTGAAATTTTAACACAAGGTTTAATACCTTCACATTTATCACGTGAGCATACGTAATACAAGCGTTGGTTTTGTCTTTCTTAGGAATGCGGCCATCGTGAGGTAATATGCATATAAAGGTTTTCCTGTATCTTTGCATGTATGTTTATTGCTCACGGACTTAATTCTTTTCTTTTACTTCGCCCGAAATAGACGTTGGAACTGTCCAAATGTGAAAACATCATCTGCTTTGCTATGCTATTTTTCAAAGATTAAAAGTCTCGAGCCATCTATCAATAATGAAAGGTTCATATTTGTAGGTGTAAAAAGTCTTTTACATGTCTATTACGAATTTTCCATCTATCGAAGTAGTATATATATTTGGAGATAATATCAACAGTAATATAATTATGTAATTGGCATGATGACATTCTTAATTACGATTGCATGTTTCTCTTAGCTCATTTGTACAAATCGTGTTACTTGTTCATCGTATATTTAACTCAATGGTCTGTAGCCAATACCAATATTTGTATAACATTGATATTTAATGATATAATTGGCAGAAAATGTCTCGTAAATAGCTAACAATCAGGCTGTTCGGACATTATTTTAAGGCGGTAGATAGCGCTTATGTGTTACTTAAAAGTGTATGTTATCCCGCAATGGCTTGTTCTGTCGATCTTCTTCCTTGTAATCAATGTTGATAATCGAGTAATTGGAAATTTACAAGGAATCCTCGGGGTTCAACGGAGGTAAATAGAGGTCTGATTTTGCAGATTGTGCCAAACCTCGTAAGAATCTTGAAGAACCTGATCCTGGCCGGATACTCGCCCGAGCACGACGTGTCCGGAGTGTCGGATCCGTTTCTTCAGGTCAAGATACTGCGTCTACTGCGTATTCTGGGCCGCAACGACGTCGATGCGTCCGAAGCCATGAACGACATTCTTGCTCAAGTCGCCACTAACACGGAAACCAGCAAAAACGTCGGTAACACGATACTCTACGAGACGGTTCTATCGATCATGGACATCAAGTCGGAGAGCGGGCTTCGAGTCTTGGCGGTCAACATACTCGGCAGATTTTTATTGAATAACGACAAGAATATCAGATACGTGGCCTTAAACACGTTATTGAAGACGGTTTATGTGGACACGAGCGCGGTGCAGAGGCATCGATCGACGATTCTAGTAAAATATTCACTTACAGATATTCTTTTTTCAAGCATGTGAAGATAAAGTTGTTCATTGGGATTAATATTCCCTCGGTGTATTTTAGGAATGCCTGAAGGACCCAGACGTATCGATCAGAAGGCGCGCGATGGAACTGAGCTTCGCGCTCGTCAATACCAACAATATCAGAAACATGATGAAGGAGTTGCTCTTGTTCTTGGAACGTGCCGACCCAGAATTCAAGGCTCAATGCAGCAGCAATATCGTCATGTCCGCGGAGAGATTCGCCCCGAACAAACGCTGGCATCTCGAAACGCTCTTCAAAGTGCTCGTCGCGGTGTGTATTTTTACCAGACCGTAACACAAGATGATATGAACGCGAGAGTTATCAATATTCAATTTCTTTTTTTTTATTTACAGGCTGGTAATTACGTACGAGACGACGTGGTAGCGTGTACAATACAATTGATTTCGGAGACACAGTCACAGCAAGGCTATGCCGTTAGCGCCTTGTGGCGCGCGTTAGAAAAGGATACATCCGACAAGCAGCCCTTGGCGCAAGTTGCCACGTGGTGCATTGGCGAGTACGGCGATCTGTTGTTGTACAGTCCACCGTTGGAAGATGCCGAGACTCCAGTCAACGTAAGTTTACTTGTAGCAACTTACTATAAAAAGACCTGGGCATTGCCGATGGAACAACTTTCTTTCTGTGTTAATCATATCTTGAGGGCCGTTTGTCAGACTTTTCCCCATAACGATTAAAAAATTTCTTAAATTTTGTTATCAGTTGACAGAGGACGAAGTCATCGATGTGTATCAGAGGCTACTCTGGAACCCGCAGAACACTGTGGTTACGAAACAGTACACCTTATTGTCTCTCACGAAATTGAGCACGAGGTTCCAGAAAGGTCACGAGTTAGTATCGCTTTCAATCATCCGTATGATATCTATAGAGGAGAGACCATATCGAAATATAATCGCAATAATATTTTGTTATTGCAGGAAAATTCGTCAGATCATAGATACGTTTGGTAGCAATTTGCATATCGAGTTACAGCAGAGAGGTATCGAGTTCTCGCAGTTGTTCCGAAAGTATGATCACCTGCGACCCGCGCTGCTTGAGAGAATGCCGCCGATGGAAACCGCGCGACCGCAGGCCAACGGTATCATTGGCATGGTGAATGGCGAGCCGGAACCGGAAGACGACAAGTCCACGATTCTGGAATCAACCACGTCTACATCCGATTCAGTAAGCGCCTTCACCATTCAATATATCTTTTTACTTGAATTGGAAACAAATGAATTTTGCAGCGTGCAAACTTAGAACAAGATCTCTAGCGGTATCTCACGCACTTCTTGTTTTGCAATTTTGCAGAGTGCACTTTTAGATTTACTTGGAACTACGGATGTAGGTGTGACGATGCCGGCGGCGACGACCAACAAAAATTCCTCGCCGAGCTCGACCGCGGCAGCGCACAACAATGACTTGTTGGATTTGCTCGGAAGTCTGGATTTGAATGCGCCCACGCCTGTCGCTCCCACGCTGCCACTTCAACCACAGGCGTCATCCACACCGATGTTCAGTCCCACCAACAATAGTAACTTCTTAGTAGATGGATTGCTCAATGCTCCGTCGGTGCAAAACGGTACGTCACGAGATCTGAAAGAACATCACGGATTGATTAGTATGAGAATCGTTATTATCATGATCGTTGTTACAGAACTACCGAGCATGGTGGTCTTGGACAAATCAGGACTCAAAATAACGTTCAAATTCGAAAGACCGCCCGATATTCCCGATCTGTTAGTCATAAATATGTTGGCTCAAAACTCCGGAAGCACCACTTTAACCGATTTTCTGTTTCAATCAGCAGTTCCTAGGGTTAGACGCATTTACAATTACATTTACGATCGCTTATCGTATATGCAAATAATGTATTTATCGCACATTTCTTGCTTGCAGACATTCCAACTACAAATGCTATCGCCGTCGAGTACTGTCATTCCGCCATCTGGTCAAGTAACTCAAGTATTGAGAGTCACAAATATGAATAGAGTCAGTTTTCAATATGTTTTCTCTATACAGAATAGTCGTTTAAGCTTTTTCACCCCTAATCAACGTTCTCTCTTTTGTTCCTTAGGCATCGTTAAGGATGAGACTGCGTATATCGTATACGGGTCCAACTGGGCCAGTTCTGGAACAGACGGAAGTCAATAACTTTCCCGTTTCGACGTCGCAGTGACAAGATGTAATACAAAATACATTTGTACATACGCCTGCCTAAAAGTAATTAATCGAAAGTGGACTAGGACGAGGATGGAAAAGCGCAGTTTTGTCTCTTCAGGAACAGTGAAACAACTTGGCAAATGGATATATCTAACACAACAAACACACACACACGCACACACACATCCGCGCGCGTTTATATTGATTAAGTAATTGAAATCCTTGTATGCGCGGCACCGACTAGGCATGACCTAAACGTTATAAGAAAGACTGGGTATGTCAAAAAGTATGAGATAATTTCGCGTGCGATCTGTTCGCTATACTCTGAAAACTCATTCGCAATGAAAAATGAAGTATTAATTCTCTTCCGCGCGTATGTTTAAGGCTGTCGCGAGTAATGTGATATTAACGTCGCGGTCTTTCAAAAATTACGTTTTGTATCATTTACTGTCGTCTATCGTTCTCGCGTAGCTTGATTACGATGAGAGTGCAAGTGCTTCGTTCTCGTAACGTGCCACACGCGTGTGGAAAACGAAGGAAGAGAGAAGAGAGATGTAAATATTTTTTCTAACCGAAACACGCGGAGGAAATCAGGGAGATATCGTACTCCGATCGGATTGCATTCCCGCTGTTTTACGACTACTAATTTAGCGCGTAATTTTTCCTCGCGTAAGCTAAATGAGAAATGGAAAAGAGGCGTAGGGAAGGACGAGACAACAGAAACACATCACACGCAACTCGAGAACAATAGAACGTGAGAAAGCCCGGAAGGATCGGAGGGAGGTTCCGTCACCGAAAGTGCTCTGTCGCTGCCCCAAAAAGTTATCTATGAGAAGACACTTAACTCTCGCTGTAACAAAAAAAAATCGATCTTTTCTACCGCTGTATTTGTAAGATATCGCGGACGACTCGCGAATGATCGTCTTGTAAATATTAGATAATCACAGTGTGACGTACAGAGGCGTGGAAATCCTTATGCGATAGAAGAAATTTGAAGCAAAAAGGAACACACGCGAGATGTGGGACTCTTTACATGTGTATATGATAGAACTGTTGATTCAATAACGCGAATACGATAATATCTACGTTTCCGTCTTCAAGAGAGAGAGATATATCATTTTTTGGGGGAAAGATGTACACGGACACAACACACATACCCTCATACACAACGCCTACGGTGCATGAGTGTGTTACATGCATAGCGCGAGTACACACACACAGTTTCGAATTCGTATTCAGAATACAGAGTAACATTGGAGGGCTGAATTCTGATTGTCATGTTATATCTGTAGCGCGTATGTGTGCATGTTGAATCTTGCATTGTGCGAGAAATATCGGGGTTCCGTAAGCGGTCCAATAAAATCTCTTTGTCGCGCCCGAATGATTGATTCGCGCCTGACGTCAGTGATGTTTCGCTATACTGTATAATTTTGTCGAATTGACTTTAACGCGAGAATTACGATGTAAAGCAGGATCGGCAACTTCGCTTATCATGCGGCTGCGAAATTGTTTAAAAAGATATAAAAAAAAGCGAGACAGTGTTTCGATTTTGTATCTGCGAACTGTGATCATCTGGTTCGTTTTTACCAAGTCGCAACATACAACAGAATAATTGCATATATATGTCGACAATAGCCTACCTTTTAAGTTGCAGTAAACACTAACGTAAAATTAACAGCGAAGTAACGATGTATTTACTATCTAACTTCGGGATTCTAATTTTACTTTCTATTTACCATTTGATTTGAATTATTTACAGTCTCAGAGATATCACTTGTGTGTATATATATATGTCTAATAGTGAAGGAAGAAAACTCGCTCATTTAACATAATGTTCGTACAATTTTATACTTACTTTGTCGAAGTTTCACATCTGCCGGTGACGAGCGACAAACGTAAGCCCTATAATAGGTACAAGTTAGGAAAAAATGATACGCTGAGAACAATAGAATGCTAGCGAAACCAGGTTTCCAGACATCTATTTTCTCTCTGGACTGTTTCTATGAATTAAGGTGTAAAACACGCTGATGTACTTAATTATTTAATTCGCTCCGATGTAACGTTATGCGACGTGGATGTAGATGTATGTACATACCATAAGGATTCATCTCAAGAGCGCCGTTCCGACACGTTTCTTCGAGTCGTACCGTTTCCTTCTCTGATTTCTAACCGGGATATCTTACGTATAACTTCTCGATTAGGTTTACAATTGATTCAGTATATAACTATGCATTTTAGCTCCGTCCCTTATATGTTACGCGAGATACGAGGGCGCGCACGCGCGCGAGGTATAGGAATATATAAAATAGAACAGGTGGGTGTGCGTTTCTCTGAGTGGCCTTGTCCTTAAAGTCTCTGACACAGCGCGTCAGCCCTTCAATGGGGGGTATTGCTCTGCCTACTTGTTCTGAATATTACATATTAGTTTTATAAACATACCTATAAATATATAAATACATACATGAGGATATTGATTAACGATAAAAATGCTGTATATATATACTTTCTAGCGAATCAAGGTGTGAAAATAAAATGTATTTTTATTCCACTAGCCTTTTCAAATCGGACATTCGTATAGTCGTGAAGAAACCGAACACTAGTTTATTCTTCTCCATCTTAAACGATGACGAGCCAAGAAATTCTAATCGCATGTGTTGAACTGTTAAAGTAATCGCTCCATCGATTTCGACTTTAAACGGAGGATACATGTCTTTATTACAAATACACATTTCATAGCAGATTTATCACACACATTATATTGGATCTTATTATTTCTGTTGAGGATCACAAGACGCGTTGCTCCCGACGTGGTTGAACAGACGGTCCTTAATAATTTGCGCCATTAAACCATGAATAACTTCGATGGTGGTCTTACAACTATCCCTGGTCGCCTTTATGAGTTTTTCCACTGTGCTGCGATCATGAGGATCCGTACCGCCTAAGACGAATCCTCTACCCAAAGCCGATTCCGAGTGTTCCAATTTATCCGACAAGTCGAATATCTGGCCGGTGGTGTAGTCCGCGTTCGTCAACAGGCTAGACGAGCTCAACGTATTCACCCAGTATTTATTCCACAATGAGTCGAGCAGTCGTCTATCCAATGCGGACTTGAAGTAGGACACCTCCAGGGAGTAATATTGCTTGCAATGAACACCAAAGTCCTCGATCTTGTTCAGCGGTATCGTCTGGTATTCTGACGGCTCCTCGTTAGCAGGCTTATATCCCTAAAAATACGATTGAAATCATTCAAAAATGATTTATATAAATGGTATCGTCGAGTAACCGTGTAACTGAGACACACATGTATCTCTAATGTCCCTCCTCTCTGGAATAATGGCTCAATTTCAATTTTTTCCAAGACCCGAGACGTACCTTGGGATAAGTTCTGAATGCACCGAGACAGACTTTGCCTGCGGAGATGGTTCTCACAGGATCGATGACAATTGCGACAAATGGCTCTTGAAAATTTTGATTGAGCATCTGGGTGGATACGTCAATCCCGGACAACCAGCAACCATATCCAGGATGACTGTGGTACCACCCGATGGCGTTTTCTAACCTACCGACCTGAAGAAAGAATTATTACGAGATTATTATCATACATTTACCGAATTTTTGTTACAAAATGTGTACACGTACCTGCTTGGCTGCTTCTATGTACGCAGTCATGTACTCGTAAGCTTGAGCTTGAGCGTTTACTCTAGTTTCGGTTCCCTCGACTGGCAACGCAAAGGAATCCATCACGATCATCGTGTTCGCCGCCACTTTACCGAGCAAGAGGCCCATCACCTCCAGCGTCCCACCGGATCGCGCGTGCATAACCATTTTTAACAGGGCTAGCGCAGATATCTTTATGTCCTTGAAGAAGTGGGGGCTGCGGATAAAAGAAAACGATTACGGCCGATGCACCTCGTTGCTATCAATATCACGCTCTGAAGCGAGAGAGAAACACAGTAGGATTAGAGAGCCTGTAATCAGAGACATAAGAGTTGGTCAAATTCCTGCGAGTGAGAGTGAAACATAGGCAATTTGACCAAGTCTTACGGCCAGTCTCTGATTACAGGCTCTCTCTCCGATGGTATATGGTTCTCGCGCGTATACAGTGGCACTATCCGTACTCTTTCTCCCATGGTTTGGCAGTTAATATATCCTGTTGCTCCTTCCTGTCGTATCTATAAATCTCGTCCATGGTACTGATGGTTTCGACGCAGTTGTTGAGCTCCCATGTCTTCTGGGCGGTGCTACTCTGGTCAGAGGACGGGCCAGCCATTCTGCCGAGAGAGGAACGTTAACGATAATTAGGGAGAGGTAAACAACGATAACAGGAGTTCCGAGGCACGCGTTCCACTTGGCGCGGCAACTGTGAGCCATACAAATTATCGACTACAAGATCGAACGGCTTTAAACATGTAAATAAGAGATCGCGATAAGTAGTTTGTTAAATCTGACAAGCCACTAAGGTCACAGTCGGTACGTTTCCCCGGTAAACATCTCTTTTTTTTCGTCGCCACGAGGTTAAGCGCGTAGCGAAACATCCGATTGTTAGCCATCGGTGGGATTACCGTAAAGCAAGATGTACCAACTGGACGCTGATCAATTACACTTCTCGATCTCAACTACGATCCGCCGATCACTTAGACATAACTTAGCAAATGGTGATTATTACTCGCTGCTTTGTCTCAGTCCTCTCACCCAACCATATAAATACACACAATGAGCTTAGACGACGGTATGGACGGTATATCGATATCTCGAGTACGCGTGGTATCGATACTGCTTCTGCAACAACACATCCGCGTCCGACAGGGGCTGCGATCAAGCAGGTTTTTTTTAAAGAAATTTTCCCATTGGACCATCTGCGACACCCCGACATCCGACAGTAACATACGACCAATTGTATAACAGGCCTAATAATTAATAATTAATCTAAGTAACAATTAATTAATCAGACGTCGAACACATGCGAGTTGTCTGTCGTTTGAAGTTGTCGCAAGCTGACTGTCGCTGTCGGATCGAGATATGGGGCGCGATTCTTGAATTCATTCGAAGGAGAAACGTACGTATACCAAGTTCCTGCTCTTACAGAAAAGTCAATTGCAAGACGATTGGCTATTCGCATGGTTTTTAACCAATCGATTTTCAATTTTTCTGTGAGGGCACAATTTTCGAATACGTTCTTCTTCCTGCAAATTCAAGAATCGAGCCCCTGGTCATGTCCCATCTTTGTGCGTGGTCTACAATGCGAGTCGCAGAGTCGTAGTCGTAAGAATAATCGACTGCGATTGGTCAATTTCGTCAGACACATAAGAATTGACCAATCGACTTTACGACTTCTATGTAGACGAGGCTTTACCGATCTAAGACTACGACTGTATACATAAACGTGTTTAATTGTAAGCCATAGGGTCAATTACCGTGGACAAAATTATTATACCAGCCGACAGCGAGCGCCGACCAATCGGTGTTTGACTCAGCGCCGCGTTCATTGGCTGGCGCGCTGATGGTGGGCAGCCGAGGTATATAAACGGCATGCAAGGAAGCCGCGCAGCGCTATGTGGGTGGAGCTGCGTCACGTCGCACGGGAACCGCAACCGTAACCTCGCTCGAGATCCTTCCTCCAAAATCGCAAGGCCTCGACGAAAGTTCTCGACGTGAAACTTGGCTAGGATCTTTGCCAAAAGCTGCTTGCAAAGAGATTTTTCTGCTCCTTTCTGGCACATCCTTCCTATTTATTACTTAACATTCTACAAACATGTGCTCTTTGCATCTAGAAACGTTCTATTCTGTAATCGATAAATACGTTTAAACAATTCGCGCAAGTGGATAAATTGTATATTATACACTGTACAGCCGTACAGTGTCGAGATATTTTTGAAGCGTTTCGATTTGCTTTTATAAAATGGAATATTTCTAGATGCAGAGAGCACATGGTAGATTAGGCTCCAAGAACTTGAACGTTGATTAGGTGATTTGTTGGAAACGAACGCCGATGTCCCCGCGGCTCCAACGGGCCGGCTCAACTTTCCCGCTTTTCCGGAAGCGGCGGGCATGACCCGAAAAGCGGCCGCGGCCGATTGGTCGGTGCACGGCGTCTCTTAGCGCGCGCAGCACGCGGTGCCGTTGCACGTAGAACGTAAACGAGGGGGCCCATTTAGCGTCCGGTCACCGTGGCGACGAGCGAGGCGAACGCGCGAGTGCGACACATCGGACACACACGGGGGGGCCTGCGCGATCCGAACTGAATAGTGTCGGGACTCTATTTATAAGCGCGTGCACGCACAATGGGATACGCGTTCGCCTGTTTCCGTTACAGCCTCGTCGTCGGTGCGGTCCTCCTTGGCGTAAGTTCGTCACCGCGGTTCCGCGAACCTCTCCTTTGCGTTCTCTCCGTCCCGCGAGCGGATTCACGCAAGGCGTTCGCTGAGAGTGAAACCGTCGGTGGGTTCGCCGATCCGCGGCGACGCGAGCTCGCCGTGGCGGCTGTCGCTCCGCCGTGTCTCGCGATCGAGATCCACTCGGCGGTGCTATTATTACGATCGAACGCGCAGCTGTTGTTGCAGCCGTTCGGAGATCGCGCGTGCGATGGTGGGGTTGGTGGGGCTCCGTTCGAGGGAGCGGCGCCAACCCGTCTCGCAATTTGCGTGCGCAATTCGCGCCGGCGATACCGGAAAGGGTGCGCGTACGCGCGCGTCTGCACTCGGGCAAAATGAAAAGAAAACTCTAACTGCGAGAGAGGATTAATTGAGGTTGTTATGTACGGCTTTGTGTCACGAGAACGAGACATTTCGAAAGCGTGGACGCAGGTTCTGCTAACTGAAATCTCGCTACGTAGATTCATTTTCATGTCGGTTTAACCTTCTTTTTGTCTCTTTCTAGTCCTAAGAATTGAAAAAAGATGGCAAGTTCAATCAAAATTTAAGTTGATCTGCATTGGTGGAAACAGGCATCCGGAGCTCGAGCGTCAATCTTTTTCTCTATTATAGCGTGAAATCGTAAAAAGTGAGAAAATTTCATTGACGAGCTTAATATTTATCAATGAAATTTTTTACTTTTTACGAGTTTGCGCTAGAGAAAAAGACTCGTGTTCGAGCCCCAGTTGTCGATAGTTTAACTCGTTGAATGAGAAATTAAATAAACGTTCAAGCTTTTGAAATTGCAGCTGCACTTTGCTTTCGAAATAATTAAAAATGCTTGTTGAAGTTGCTATTACAATTTACTTGATGCTATTCGAGACTTGTAGTTGAAGTTTCTTATATTTAGTCGCTATCAAATTCGTCGAAAGATTGATAACGCCAATCATCTTTTGTTAACTGAGATAATAATTTTCGGACACCCAGCGCTCTCTTCTCCGAAATGTATTAAATCGACTTCAATATCCGTCGTTTTCCCGATAGCTAGAAGAAACAAACGCCTGTTGAAACGGTGATCTTACTAGCTGATATCTATGCACTTATTAATGAGAGGCAACGAGAGTTGAAGGCGAACTGTACTTGTAATTGCCAAGTGACCTTAATTGACACTTTATTCCGTTACAATTGTGGAATATCGCTGAGACAACATGTCGATTTTGCGGTAATTCAATCAGTTTTCTTGTCTTGTAAATAATTTGATTTACATCACACATTTAGAGGTTACTTGACGCTAATGACTTTCTCTCTAAAAACAGTGAATAATCACTGATTTCCAGTTATAAATATATCACTGAAAATCGTGTAATCGTGGGACAACGCGGCAATTTGAAGAATTTTATAAGAGTTTTCTGAAATTTTACTAGTAAAATTTATGGTAAAATTTCAATAAACCTCTTATAAAGTTGTTGGAAATGCCGCCTTGTCCCTCGATTACATGATTTTCAGTGATATATTTATAATTGGAAATCAGTGACTGTTCATTTTCACTTTTAGAGAGTCAATGAGAATTGCTTAAAATTGTTTACGTAAAATAGATGTACATTCCAAAAGATGAAAGTCTGTATTTTACGATAAAGATAAACCTCGAATCAAAAAATAAAAAATATCCAGTTTTCTCTCAATGTAGCTATCGTGTGATAAAGCTGTGATGTACACTTCATTTTGAAGGAAATATACAAGCGCCTCGCCTACATTTATAGATAAGATTTCGTCTTTCTTTTTCTCTTATCGACGATAAGCTTTCGTTATAACAATCCGATAACGCGATACGTATCGTCGCCGTGAGTTTGCGTGTTGATTTCGAAGAAAGCGATGCGGCCAATTTGAAAAAACCGATTTCCATCTCGATGTCTATTTTGGTACAGAATTATGCGACGCGATCGACGAGTGATTGAGACGCACTTATCGTGAAGCAAAACATTTCTGCAAATCGTTATCGTCGTAACAAAATATCGTTAGAATTTGCCGCGATGAGTGTCGCAACAAGGAAACAATATTGTTAATTATATCGAATCCGTACAACAACGAGATGAAAATATCCAAGTGCAATACATGGAGAGAATTTTCTCTGAAAATTAACCCTGAAAATCGTGTAATCGCGGGACAACATTCAACATTTTATTAGTAAAATATATGGTAAAATTTCAGAAATCTCTTATAAAGTTTTTCAAAATGCCGTGTTGTTCCACGATTATGCGATTTTCAGAATAAATTTTAAGAGAAAATATGAAAAGGCTTCTTCTCTCTTCCACAGATTTCCGGCGCGATCGCGGTCGTGTGCGCCAGTTATTTCATTTATGAGCTGTACAGGTACACGCCGCTCACACCCGACCATGTGTGCGAGTCGTCTGCCGTCCTGCTGGCGTTGGGTGTTATCACATGCGGGTTCGGCTGGTGCGTCTGGCGATTTCTCGATTTTTCCAACAGGGGCCAAGTGATCATCGTAAGTTCATTTCTTGAATGTATTCGGGAAAGAGCTGGGAAATTCGTAGCTAATACTCAACTGTCTTCATTCGTACGCAGTTTACCGCAGTACTGGCGGTCATCGTCCTGATTGAGACCGGAGTCGGGATCTGGGCCTTGGTGCGACACGAACAGATAGACGCTATGTCGTCTGCGCAACACGAAAAGATTTTCGCGCTCGCGATCACGGATGATAAGGTCATCTGGGACCACATGCAGTCCACGGTAAAATCATATTCCTCCTCCGTTTTGCGCTACTCGAACATCGCGGCTTTATTTTATTGCTGGTGCAATATTTGCTGGATAATCTCGTTTCATTCTTGTTTCTATTCCTACGAATGATAAGATGAATTTAGAATGTGATAGCATACAATTTTATTGTATTTGTAAAAATATTGGGGATTTGCACATTGCTTCCACATCGTCTGAGCAAGCTGTTTTTCAATTTCATAGAGGAAGCTTTGTGAGTCGAGATGCAAATTGAAAAATGCTTCTTCAGAATCTTAATTCGCACGCAAAGCTTCTTTATGAGGAAACCGTGTGCAATGTTAAGATAAATTGAAAATGTGGTAGCATAGAATTTAATTATACCTGTAATAAAATAATATACAATTTAAGAAACATTTAAATCGAGCTACTTTGATTCGTTTAAATTCAATTTTAGTTACACTGCTGCGGAATAGACGGGCCGTCCGATTATCGTGGAGTAAACGCGATTCCTTGGTCCTGCTGCAATATGACGAATCAAGAGACTGACAACCCCACTGGTGGTATTTGCGTCGTTATCAATAAACGGGGATGTCAGCACACGGTGTTAAATAGGACGAGATCGATCCTCCTTCATGTTTTCCTGGTGGCGTTGTGCTCCGTGCTGCTGCAAGTGCGTGTTCTCCCTCGCTGGAGTTGGCGGATCAATCAATTAATTGACTGACGTTCGCACCAATTTCTTTCAGATTTCCTTCATAGCGTTCACGACTTGCTACATCAGAATCTACAAAGACAAAATGGAAAGGAGAGCATCGCAGTTGGCTGCGCGCACGTCTCTGCAAGACACAAGAGAAGAATTGGACGCTAGGAACAACTTTCTGACCCGTCAGTCCAAGTACTTGCAAAATTCTGAGGATCCCTAGCCCATGCTGAACACCGCGAAGGACAGAGATGTGTGTCACTTAAGGACCGTGCGTCATTGTGATATGCGAAATACACTTCGCGTCGTGACAATACCAACAGTGTACAGATACACTAGTGATACCGATATTGTTCCTGTTCCACAGGGTATTTCGAGCCGACCGAGAAATACTTTAGCGGGTTCCTCGCCAAATACCTCTATTAGCTTTTCTTCGTCTTCCGGAAACTGCGTCTTGCCAATTCTTAACATTGAACTGCTTGGTAAATAAATTTTAGTATTTTTGATAAAATGAAATAGGAAATTTTTTTATGCATTTACAAATGATATAATTTCTTAAAAAGATGTTTTATATCTGTTTCGTTTCTTTTTCTCAATCAAACTTAAGGAGAATACGAAACTTGAGTTGAGAAAGGTCCGTCTCTAAAGTATTTTTCAATCTTGCCTGATTACCCCGTATAAAGAAAAAATCGACAATATTTCGAAAGGTGCCCGAGTATTTGCTATTCTTACTGCCAAATAGGTGATTTTTACTACGACGACATTTCTGTCTTAATGCAATTTTTTTTTATGTTCCTGGCAATGTCGAGAATTACAGTTTAGTTCAAGGAGTATCGCTTTGTCACCTTAGTAAACTATAACAAAGTCCGTGTTTATATTCCCGTGGGTTTTAGTTAATTTAGTTTGTACTTAACATACCTTTTAATACGGTAGTTATTAAATAAACAGTCGACTGCACAGTGCGATGCTTTAATCAACGACACGACTAACAAATGTATAGGTATTCGGTATGAATGTTTCATTTTCATATCTTGCGTTATCCAAAAGTGCTTCGACTCTAGAGATTAAACAGCAGGACGTATTATAGTCTCACGACTCGGAGAAAGTGACAGAAATAACCGTGAATAGTTTTTGTATTATTTTTATCTCACTTTTATGTCAATATTTTTCGTTGATTTTCTGTCCGAACTCCTCATTGGCGCTATAGTATACGCAAATCTTTTATAATATTATACCAACTGAAAGTAAAACCTATTTTGTATATCCGATTTTTACGAAAGCAGGGTCGTTTCTTGAAAGAAAAGTGTATTTACATGATTATTGCTTAACACACAACGCCCACCTTTCCATGTCCATCTTGCGCAGTTTCTCGAGACATACCTATTAATCGCAAAAGTAATAATCTCAATCTATTTAGGCAAAAATCTCTGACGTATATCACCTAAGTTCTAAAGGAAATGTCTTGTTCCGTCAGGCGAGACAGGCACATATCTTTGAACTGACATCATGCAGCGCGTCATTCACGTGACTGAATTTCGATCACGTCATACAGTTGGGTAATTCAATTCATTTGCCTTTAAAGCAATCATGTAAAAGTATTATTCCCGTCCACTCAATTCCTTTTGTCATTTGCATCTTTCAGAAAACGAATGTCCTAGATTAAGTATCGTTTTTTATAAAATGAAAAATTTAATCAGAATTTATTTATACTCGTTGAAAGCAATTCTCGAAACTGTTCTGTAATCAAATCTTTAATTATATACAAGTTAGAATGGCATATGCTTTCGATAGAGATAAGACTGGCAGATTAGATTGGCGATACAGCGTGGCTCAAAGTTAGTTGGGTCAATTAAATATTCCAGTCTAAATCGCTGCTATTTTAATCAACGCGAAACAGACCGTTTTAAAACCGTCTCATATTATCGACTTTAATTACTATAATTGATTCAAATCTATATTGTTTTAGTAAAGCATAGATAAAAGCTAGCTTTATTGTCACATAGCTAGAAAGTTTGCTTCAAGTAATCTTCGATCAGATCAATCGAAATTTGGTCCAAGTCGCCCTTACGTTGATTTCTTAATTGTTAAAACTAGAACGAGATAAAACATAAAGTTAATCACTCCAGATAGCGGTGCATGTCTAAGACCCGGTTGCACCAATCTCACGGTTAACTTTAGCTAAATTTACTTCTCGTCTTCCTTAGACAAAGACAAAGAGTGAGTTAAGCCAAGGTTAAAGGACGTTGGTGCAACCAGGCCTTAAAGACATAAAGATATCTTCAAGACAACTTTGCTATCTTGTATTCTTAAGATAATGTTTTATATCTTTGTCTTAAGCCTAATCTACAATGTGCTTTCTACATCTAGAAACATTCTCTTTTATGTAAACAAATTAAAACGTTTATAACAAACTTATCGACAATTTACGATTGTACAAATGCACAATTGATCAACTTGCCCGAATTTTGTAAACTTATTTATTGGCTAGGAAATAGACTATTTCTAGACACAAAGGACACGTTGTGGACTAGCTTTCAAAGTGTTTCAAAGTAACGCACAACAACTGTCTTGTGACCTAAGAATACAGGACAGCCATTCTGCTCAGGCCCTTTTAGACGACTTAATGCCGTCTCAAAGATGTCTTTTAGACACGCGCGCTATCTGGGACGTCATTCGGGCTCGTTTTTACCGAGCCGAGAGCAAAGCTATCCTCGGGCATCGAGATAAAGCGCGCACCTTCGACAGCGATCGCAGCGAGACGCGCTGCTGGCCCAAGTGCGCTCGGCTTCTCCATATCTGGGCGCAATCCGAAGCGCGTCACTTTACCACGAACACCGCCGTGCTTCGGGAAACTTCGGGCGGACTCGCGCGCCACCGTCGGTCTCCGTCAGGCTGGCGCCGCGCGGAGCGTCGCTTGAATGGAATTTCAGTTGGCGAGTCGGACAGTTTAAATCGGAGTCGCCGATCGCGTTGTTGTGCGTCGCGCGCGCGAGTTCTCGTCCCGGCATCTTCGCCCTCTCGTCCACGCTACGAGCGTTTTTACCTCTCACGTCGCGGCCGTCGAGTACCGTCGTTAACATGGGGTGCGGAATGGGAGTGGTCAAGTACCTGCTCTTCATATTTAATTTCATCTTCGTGGTAAGTGGTAACCGAGACGATCGCGGCGCCATAACGCTCGCCATGGCGTCCTCGTATCGCGATAAAACGCTCGGGGCCCGGGGGCCGCGCGCCGCCGAGCTCGTATTCGCTCTTATCGCGAGCTGAAAATAATGCGGCCGTTATTCGCGCCGTGAGCGGGGCCCCGAGAGAGCGTGCCCTCGCGCCCGACGCCATGCGCTCGGCTCGATCGAGCTGACGTGTTCGCCCTGGACGCGGCGTCCTCGGAAAAACCGGTCCCTCTTTCCTTCGACCCGCCGTCCTCTCGTCGCCGCCTCGCCAACGGAGAGGTCGCGCGCTCGATCCCTCGGTCTCTATTCATTTTCGTTCCGCTTTTTTTTCCTCCCCCTCCCCCCCCCCGTTAAACGCTTCTTTCTGCACAAAGGGCGCCTCCCGAAACTCCCGTAGGAGCATCTTTACGGTCGTATCGCCTCTCCCGATCACCACCTCCGCGGGCTTCGTGCCGTATCATTCCCGTCCCGCTCCCTCGTGAAATGCCCGGAGCACGGCGTCGGAAATACGCCATGCTCGCGGTGTATACATAGCGGGCTCTTCGCGGAATTCGTCCGCCGGCTTGGTTCCGCGAATTCGCCGGCGCGGTGCTGGCCGATTACTCAACCTCGTGCAAGCACGCGCGCGCGGGAGATCTCGTCCTTGAAACGTGCAGACTGCGTCCTGCCCGCGATCGCGTGCGTGACCGTCGCATTTTCCCTCCTCCGTTGAATCACGATGATTTTTGTTCCGTTTTTTTGTTTTCCGTTGGACGCTTCCTCCTTCGCCTTTAGAACGGATAGGATCGCACGCTCGTGATGGAAACAAATAACGGCGTGTCCTTCGTGGACGGTTAAGGTCGCTGCGCGGAAAAAAAAATTGTAGTCGTAATTTTGTGAAGCCTGAAGCCTGATCTACGATGTGCTCTTTGGGTCTAGAAAATAATATTTCTCACAATAAATTTAAAATAAGAATTATTTCGACATCTAACATCCTGTCACGGTTCTTCAGTCCTTATTCTCTCCTTTGAAATATATATATATATTTTTTTTAAATCAAACACATGTAATTTATCGAAATATTGACCGCGGCATGTAGTTAAATGAAGGGATATTTGTTACTAATGAGAATATTCTTAAAAGTCGCCAGCAGTAATTAACAACATCAGCGATTTTTATTGACCGTGTATCTGGCAATTTTAATGATACAGAAAATTTCTTGCGAAAAATATTACCTCAGCCAGGGTTTGAACCTGGACCTCCCTTCACTCTAGGCGGACGTCTCAACAATTGCGCGAGAGCTTCGGCATAAGAGGGTGACAAAACACAGGCATTTCGATAGCTTTCATCTTCTCAAGAAGACTGGTGTCGAAGAGAGAATAAGACGTAATTCTTGAAACCGCAAAGCTAAATCGACCAGTTGCAGTCGAGCGTTCTCACAGCGTAATAAGAATACAAGTTTTTCACGCGCAATGGCCTTTAGATCGAATACCGTAGTTTTACGGAGACAGCTCATAGCGCCGTATACATTTCTCGCGGTTGCTTATAATAAAATTGTATACGAGGAGCGTACAATGTCTTAGGTTTTCGCCGAACGAGAGTCCCGTGAGCGCGACTGTAACAGCTCTTAATTCCCTGAATTTAGTTTCATCACGACTCATCGACTGTGTAAAAGTTTGATTAGACACGAGAGCCTGCGATTCCACGCTCGCCACTGGTGTCCGTTTGTACCAACGTCAACTAACTTCAGTCTCGGTTTAACGTACATTTTACCTTGTTTCTAGCTCTATCGCGTCGTCTACAATGCGTATGGGGCAAGCCTGGCGTAAGGAGTAACAGAGAACCGTAACCTTTAGCTTTTGGTGTAAGGAAGCTAAAATACAGGCACAGCATAATTTTTGAAATATCTGTCACACTGACCGGTGGTGCTCTGATTCGCCGAGAGTAAGCGTGCGAGCTCCAGTAGAAGTAACAAGTAAAATTGATTTATTTCCTTACTTCCACTCCTTACTCCAGACTTACTCCACGCATTGCAGACGACGCATAAAACCCAGTTTCATCAACGTCGTTAGATTTTAACCTCAGATTAGAGCCAACGGCACACGATATTTTTCCTACTGGATTGCTTGCGGGAGCCAATAAGAACGCAGAGTTTTGGATCGGATGACTTAAGGCCATAGGCGTATAATATATATAGACTGCGCATTTTGGCTGCAGAAGTGTACAAACTTTAGAAAGAGACAACGTACTTTGAACAGTACCTCTTATCCTTTATCCCTTATCTTTCCCCTTCTCTTCTGTTACCCCCGCTACTTCACTAGACAAAGATGAGGCATCAACAGAAGAGTTGGTCAAATTCCTGCGAGTGGGAGAGAAACATAGGCTATCTCACTCTCCTACGATCGTAGAATCGTAGCGGGGGTAACAGAAGAGTTTGCCAAATTCCTGCGAGCGAGAGAAAAACATAGGCCACCTCACTTTTCTACGATTCTGCGATCTCTCTCACTCGCAGAAATTTGACCAACTCTTATGGCCAGTCTCTGATTACATGGTCTCTATACTATTCAACGCCAGCTATCTCGTTCTAAAGTTTGTACATGTTTTCACACGGGTGAGGTAGGGGAACACGCAGTCTATTCTTACTGTGTCTAGGCTTAAATTGGCTCTCGTAAGCAATCCAGTAGGAAAAATAGTATCGTGTGCCGTTTAGTCTTTGTCTCTTTCTAAGGAGACAGAAAGAAACAAAGGCTGGATTAAGCGAAAATCACATGAACGTGATTTGCGAAATCGACCCTAAGAATTGGAAGAAGAATGAAAAGTGAGCTAGAGCAGATTAAGATTAATCGACGTGGACACGGGCCTTAAGACAGAGTTCAGTTAATTTTCCGATAACGTTTAATGACAATGGCAGCGTTTTTAACTGCCTCTTCACTTGGCGATATTCCAAATGCTCGAGCACGTGAAACGCGCTTTATAAACAGAGCGATATTGTACCGGGGTGTGCGTCCGCGCGAGCGACATATACCGGGTTGGTTTTTAGTACGTACAGTCGTGGTCAGAAAGATTGTCTGACGTTTTAAGATAAATTTCGAAAATGCAGTCTATTATGCGAGAGATTATAGCGTTTGCTCACGGATATGTGCAGTGACGCATTATTAGAGCAAATGAATGATATGTACGAATATCCATGGAATGATATTATACAAACGAGTATTCCGAAAACTTGTAAAAAGTCTGACAACCTTTCTGACCACGACCATACATACGTACATACATATACGTGTACATATATTGTCATACATATAAATACACATCGCTGGCGAATGACTCATGGTGATAAGAAAAAAGAATAATCCCAAGGCTGACAATTACAAGAGTCGTCTTAATATGTCACGCGCCTTCTCCTGTTTGCATTTAACGCCCATGGACGTAGGAATAGTGCCGCAGGGGTGGTCCACGAAGGGTGGGGAGAATAAAATGTCTATTGTAACGGACATGAGGTACCAAGATGGCCAACACTCGATACGGAATATCATCTACATATTTTCATGCCGTGAAAAGAATAAAGCTTTCTCACTTGGGAAAAATGCAAAAATGAGTTATATAAAAGTACAAAATATTATTTTATCATTATGGTGTTAAATATATGTTTTTGCCGTCGCTTATATATTGTTTTTTATGTAGCAGCCGTTCCAAATTAATGTGCATTAATTTGGAATAATGCGGATAACCAAATTTGCTATGTAAACATTCGTATTGTTACGCCTTTACAACAAGGGACTCCCGACACTCGCTCGCACTCTCACAATCGCTAACACTTGCGAGGGTGCCCGCAAGAATAATAGTAGGACACTTCTACTTGAGGGAAAAGCGATTAACAATTTAACAGAAGCGGCCCAGACTCGCGTCCGCCGTTAACAAGGGCCAAACTTGGAATCGATACATTCAGTTTATTTAATAAAAGTATCCACACGTTTATCAGCGACGGTATCCAGGCAGTCCGCCAAGATACCGGGTGTCTTGAAACGGTCGTAACAATATATACACATGAGATAATCATAACTTTAATATATCGGAAAATAGAAATTACTGCAATGGTCTTACCTCACGCCGTATAATGCCTCACGATGTGACATACACACTAAATATCCGGCATCAAGATTATCAGCCAACTCCCGCGTCCATATATGGACCCGTCCAAATATTTTCTATGTCCATTAGAAAACAGCAAAGAGGTCGCGCTTTCTAAAATTCCAAGAATTTTTCCAAATTTCCACCAATTAAAATTTCGAGAATTTCAAACTTCAAATGACGAAAATCGAGAATCTCGAAAACAGGCAAAGCATCAGGGGAACATAATCAGCAAAGAGGTGGCATTAACTTTCCAAGAATTGGAATTCCGACAATTTCAATCGCGTCGCACGCAGGACAGTTCCAGCCTGTTATCTCTCATCTCCTTGTAAAAGTCCGCGATATCGAGGCGGTTCAATAAACGCCACTGGCAGTAGAATTTCGCCGAGCAGGTAGTGCGAAAAATAATTATGTGTAAACGAGGGGTCGCGTATCTCTCGGAGTATATTTAGAAAGAAGGGGCACGCGATAATCGTGAATCACCCGCGCTTATCTTCCATTTAATTATCGGCGCGTCTTTTTAAGAGAAACTGAAAAACTCGTGTAAAACGGCGTCTACGCTGCACCTCTTTTCTCCGACACGCTTCAATCCAGAAAAAGGATTTTTCTCACCGAGCATTTACTTCCATTGATCAGCGACGTGGTGACTCGTTGGAAATTTTCATCTGATATATTTCTGCGAGGACGTCACGACGACAGTCGGGCGGTTGCTGCTTCCTCCTCCTCTTCTTTTCCTTTACGGTCTCGCGGTTTGCTTACTGTAGCTAGTCACAATGGTCGTTTCTTGCGGTGTTCCAAGGTCTCCTCTTCGCTCTCCCTTAAGCTAGCGCTACACTATACGCCATTTGTATATTCGTGAAT